CTGCCATGATCCCTGAGACTCAGAAACAAATTTCGAAACCCAGTGGCTTTTGGCAGAAATGCGTCCGGACCCTGCAGTAGGTTACTGTTGCCGGACCACCCCAGGGGGAAAAGGGTGCTGTCCCTCCCCCTTTGCGGCTTGGTGGCCACCATCCTCCAGAGACCACTGGACAGTCAGGTTTGGGCCCTCAGTGATAAGATACGCAGGGCCTCACGGGATGGGGGTGGAGGCGGCCCTTTCCTCCCCGTCCCAACAAGACCGCCAGTCACCGCCCTCTGGCTCCTGGTCAAGCTGCTTAATGGCCATGATCCCAGAGACTCAGGAACAAATCTCGGAACCCAGCAGGTTTTGGCAAGAAATACCTCCAGATTTAATTGTTGAAATTTTAGAATTTCAAAATCGCATGGCCACTACTGCAGCCACACGGCATCATATGTTATTCATAACCGGTAATAGAAAACAAATTGTCTGTTGTTGCCTTTTTGGCAGATCTGAGTGTTGGGGTAAAATCCCAAATAATAATGGTGGGTGTGGTGTCGAAATATTGAGTGTAATCAAAGTATAGAGAGAGTAATTTGGAAATCATCTGCCCCACAGGGAGGGGGAGGGTCTGAGATGGGGGTATACTGGGGATTTTGGCAGTGGATAGTGGGCACTGGTGAAGGTACGGGTGTTTCATTATATGACCGATACTTAAACCTGAAAGCTTTGTAACTGCTCTCATGGTGATTCAATAAATAAAATTATAAAAAATGAAAAAAGAAAGTAATGCAGAGTTCATGCACAATTCAATCAGCCTAATCAGTGGCTGAAGAAATAGCAGTACTCCTACATAAAAAAATAATAACAATAAAAATAAATAAATAAGTCTAGAGTTTATTAATTTTCCTTGTTCTTAACGTTTATTTCTGTTTTGTATCTCTTGCTTCTGGATCTCCCACAGAAGTACTGGGAGGGTGGGGGAGACTATGCAGTGCTGGGGACTGGGCTGGGCCTCTTGTAAGCCAAGCATGAGCTCAGCCCATTCAACTATTTTCTCTCTGGTCTGACCTGGATCTTATTTTTTTTTCTTTTTGGGTCACACCCGGCGATGCTCAGGGGTTACTCCTGGCTCATGCACTCAGGAATGACTCCTGGCGGTGCTCAGAGGACCATATGGGATGCTGGGAATCGAACCTGTGTCGACCATGTTGGCTGCATGCAAGGCAAACGCCCTACCCGCTGTGCTATTGCTCCAGCCCCTGACCTGGACCTTTTGAGAAGTACTGATGAGGTATTTTGCGGGATTACAAATTGTCTAATGTTTTATTTTTTTCATGATTAGATTATTTTTATTTATTTATTTATTTGCTTTTTCGGTCACACCCAGCGACGCACAGGGTTATTCCGCACAGGGGTTACTCCTGGTTCATGCACTCAGGAATTAACTCTTGGCCGTGCTAGGGGGACCATATGGGATGCTGGGAATCGAACCCAGGTTGGGCTGCATGCAAGGCAAGCGCCCTACCTGCTGTGCTATCACTCCAGCCCCGATTAGATTATTTTTATAGGCGCTGGAGCAATAGTACAGAGAGTAGGGCATTTTCCTTGCACGTGGCCGACCCAGGTTTGATTCCCAGCATCCCACATGGTCTCCTGAGCACTGCCAAGAGTAATTCCTGAGTGCATGAGTCAGGGGTAACCCCTGTGCATCGCTGGGTGTGACCCAAAAAGAAAAAAAAAGAAAGATTATTTTCATAGATTGGGAGGATAACTGAAGAGGCGAAATCTAAGTTTTATCACCTGAGGTCAGGGTTCCTACTATCATTGAGGTTTATTACTGTTGGTATTAATGAAAGCTTATGGTAGATACGCTTGAGGTGGTATGTGAAAGAGAGAACCAAGATGACCGTGATGCAGGAGACCTAAACTTCTTGTTTGTTTCTTTGGGCCATACTCAGTGGTGCAGGAATATGTCTGTCTCTACTCCTGTCTTGAAGGGGAATGCCTCCTGGGACCATGTGGTACAGCACGCAGGGGTCTTTGTATGCCAGGCATACACTTAACCCCTCCCCTTGAATTATCTCAAATTTCTATCTGATTTCAGAGGATGAAATTTCATTTTTTGTTAATAGCTTAGTACCACTTTTTTTTTCTTTTTGGGTCACACCTGGCGATGTGCAGGGGTTACTCCTGGCTCTGCACTCAGGAATCACCCCTGGTGGTGCTCAGGGGACCATATGGGATGCTGGGAATCAAACCTGGGTTGGCTGCGTGCAAGGCAAACGCTCTACCCGCTGTTCTATTGCTCCAGCCCCTAGCTTAGTACCAGTTTGACTTAAAACAACAACAAATAACAAAACAACCTTGATTTGAAGTATTGGAGGCAGGATGGAGAGAGCGGAGGAAGAGACAGACTAGAAGTGACAGAGGACAGAGGTAGAGGGACTTGGCAATTTGGTGGTGGTGGTGAAAGTGCAATAACTGTGTATTAAAATGAGGAAGTTGGGACCTGAGCTATAGTGCAGCAAGTAGGGCATTTGGCTTGCATGTGGCTGACCCAGGTTCCATATTGCACATCCCATACAGTGAGCACCTCTAGGACTAATTCCTGAGGGCAGAGCCAAGACTAATCCCTACGCACTGCCAGGTGTGTCCCAAAAACAAACACAAAAGACCCCTAATAAGGCTAGAGGATTAACACTATTGTTACCATGTTACCTAAACTATAATAAGTAAAGTAAAGTAAAGGCCCTCCCGTTGATCATCGATTTGCTCGATTGGGCCCAGTAACGTCTCCATTGGAGACTTTGTTGTTACTATGTCTGGCATATCGAATACATCACGGGGAGCTTGCCAGGCTCTGCCGTGAGGGCGAGATCCTCTCGGTAGCTTGCCGGGCTCTCCGAGAGGGGAGGAATCGAACTTGGGTCGGCCATGTTGGCTGCGTGCAAGGCAAACGCCCTACCGCTGTGCTATATAAAAACATCTTTTGAAAGTTTAAACGTTCCCTATCTCCTTTCTTGAGTTTCCCCCTCTAGGCACTCTGCTATATCTCTAGTATTCTTACCCACCATTGCCAGATACCCTAAAAAAGTAAATATGCTTCCATTCCTACTAACATTTACTGAACACTTGGCTACATGCTAGGACCTCATTGTATTACATCATTTGATGGAAAGCAGTGTGCTACATAGAAGGAGTTTAGGCTTCAAAGGACTTAGGTTGGGGGCCTGATGAATAGTACAGTGGGTAAGGCATTTGCCTTTCATGTGGCTGATCCAGATTTAGCACTGGAAGTCTTTTTTTTTTTTTTTTTTTTTTTTTTTTGCTTCTTTTGGGTCATACCCGGCAATGCACAGGGGTCATTCCTGGCTCTGCACTCAGGAATTACTCCTGGCGGCACTCAGGGGACCATACGGGATGCTGGGAATCAAACTCAGGTCGGCCGCGTGCAAGGCAAACACCCTACCCGCTGTGCTATTGCTCCAGCCCCAAGCACTGGAAGTCTTTATGTTCCCCTAAGCCCTCCAGGAGTGATCTCTTAATGCAGATCCCAGGAGTAAGTCCTGAGCACTACCAAGTATGTCACCTTAAACAAACAGACAAAGACTTAGGTTGGAAGGGCAGCGTAGCCCAAGTAATCATACAATCTTTATTGTCAGTTTCATTTAATTGTCATATCATTGTCATATTCAGCCTTGACTACGTTTTCTTCCTTTTGACCCTTGAGCTCCTGGATCACACCTCAAGATGCTGAGGGGATCATGAGATGCCACTGGGCCTCTTCTGGCTACCCACGTGCAAAACACTCTCTTCCTAGTCCATTTTGGCTTCTTGTATGGAGATATTTGTCTCATAAGATGTATGAAAGAAGAAGCCTTCTCTTAATTCTCATTCATTTTGCTTCTCCCTCCAAATCCTTATGCCTACCTTTTATTCATTTTTGGTTTGGAGCCACACCTGGGTTTGTATGTAGGGATCATTCCTGGTGTTGCTCAGTACAGTGGTGACGGACCATATGTGATGACGGAATCAAACTTTTTAGTCACAGGTTCTATGACTGCGTTTTGAATTTTTTTTTTTTTGAGGGGACTCCACACTCTGGTACTCAGGGCTAAATTCTGTTCTGTGCTCAGGGATCACTCCTGGCTATACTCCAGGCATGTCAGGGTTTGAACCCTGGGTTGGAAGCGTGCAAGGCAATCACGTCCCATGTTGTACTATCTCTCCCGCCCCATGACTCTATTTAAAAAGTTAATGCGTAGATATGGAAAGTGTGACTACCCTACAGGCATGCCGTGGAATGGGGTAGCCGGAGGGAAACTGGGGACATTGGTGGTGGGAAATGTACACTGGTGAAAGAATGAGGGTTGGAATATTGTATGACTGAAATCCAAGCATGAATAACTCTGTAACTGTGTATCTCATGGTGATTCAATACAAATCAGCAATAAGAAAGAACCCCAAAACAAAACACTGACACAACACAATGTTTGGACTCCCATGTTTAGTCATTTTTGAGTTTGGCGGACACAATTGTCTTAAACTTGCTTTCGTCAGGATTATGTCCATAAATATGTTCAATTTATAAATTTTTCATAACAAAAAAGATGGAACTATAAAGGACAGGATGAAAACAGAGGGAACTTGAGACAGTTTCAGTGGCAATATCAAGGTCCGTCAAGGAGGCCTCGCTCATGCTGATTTCCTACTGGTCAAGGCTACAATCAATCGCATCTGTTGTAAATAAACGAGCCGGAAGCGTGTGGCTGGGAGGCGGGATCTTCCTGTCGCCATGGCGAATGTGCGAACCCGTTTTCGAACAGGGTGGCAACTGCTCCCGCCCTCGCCCGTGGGTTGCTAAGGGGCGGGACTTAGAAGGTCGGTGAGGAACTGAGCGCCCGAGTCCCCGCCCACCACGCGCGTTGGCGGGGCGGGTCTCGCCGCGGATAGGCTGCTGGCCCTGCCCGTTCGGGTTCGCTGCGGAGGGGCGGCTCGTGAGGAGGAGGCGGCGTGAGGCGACCATGGCGGGAGGAATGAAAGTGGCGGTCTCTCCGTCAGTTGGTGCCGGGCCTTGGGGCTGGGGGGCCGGGGGCCGGGGGGCAGTGTGGCTGCTCCTGGTTTTCTCCGGCTGCTTGGTCTGCGGCTCAGGTACCGCCCGGGCAGCAGCTGTCGAGGGGGCGGGTGCTGAGGGGTTATTTTTAGAAAAAAGAGGATTGGCCCGGAGGTGCGGGGCCGGTGTTTGGCCGGGGGGCTCGGGCGTGTTGTGGGGGACGTTTTGCGGTTGGCCTCGGGGGTCCGGCTCCCGGCGACTGGGCGCCCCCGGCGGGGTGGGGTGGTCCTGGGAGTGGGGAGGAGCCTGGAGTCTTGGCCGAGGCGGGGGAGGCCTGAGCCGGGCGAGGAGCGGCGTCGTGGGGGCCGCTTCACGCAGCCCGGCCGAAAGGCGCCGAGGACGGTTCTGGGGCGGCTGAGCTGTCGGTGGGAAGCGAGCCCCGCACTTTCGTCCGGCTCTTGAACGGCACCTTCGGGGCCGACGCTCTTCCCAGGACTCGGGGGCCCCGAAAAGCCGTGATCCCTGGCCCCCACCCCCACCCCCCACTCGCCCCTTCGGGCTCGAGCCGACCGTTACATCCCCTTCCCAAAGGGAACAAACAAAAAGATAGACTTGCCAGTCGTAGGCATAGGTATCCTTAGGAACTTGTTCAATCTTCAAGCAAATTTATGATGACTTACGTTCGGTTTGGGGCCCACACCCGGCGAGACTCAGGCCTTATTCCTGGCTCTGCGCTAGGGATCGGCCCTGGTCGTTTCGGGGGACCTAATGGGGTGACTGAATCGAACCTGGCTTGGCCGCGTTCAAGGCGAGCGCTCTGACCAGCCTGCTGTGTCACCACTCCGCCCCAAGCGAAATTACTTACTGCCTATTGCAGGATGATTGGCTTTAAACTGGCATGACATTTTTATGTTTCTCCTGTCATCCGGAAGCCCTAGACAGTGTTTGCGGAACAGCTTCTACCCTCCTTGTCTTAAAAATGCATGTTAAACACACAACAAAATAATACGCTCATTTTTCTAACTTCCACTGGAGGGAGTAGAATGAAACTCTGAAACTAAGAGATCTTGTGAACACAAGTGCTCTCTCACCTTTCCTGCTGGGTGCTCTATCTCCTGTTTCTCACGGTTGTTATCTTTAGCTGCAGCTCTCTCTTCTCTCTCTCTCTCTCTCCCCCCTCCCCTCCGCGGCCCCCCCCCCCCCCAGCTTTAAGGTTGTCTCTCTGGAGCCACAGGTCTATTCTGAATTGTAATTTTTTATCTTATTTTATTTTTTCCATGGTACCAGGACTTAGTCCTGTGCTCAGGGATCATTCCTGGTAGGGGTGGGGAGCCATCTGGGATGATGGGGTTCAACTGGTCAGCCCCATGCAAGGCTTCATGGCTGTACTATCTGGTGAGCTCCAGAGGAGAAAAAATTCTTCTATTTTTTTTTTTTCTGGGGACCTGGGTATTGGAGAAATAGATATCCAGTAAGATTTTTTTTCAGGGATAACAACCTGAGTAACATCCGAAGGGATACTTGTTATTTAAATGCACTTCATCTCTAAAACTGGGTTTTACATTGTGGATTTGAAAGTGAAAGTGGATATGCATGGTTTTTAATCAACTGTGCTTGTATTTATGGAGAGTAATAGGGTCTCCATGGCTTGGAGAAGGGTATTCCAAGATACTGAGTTTTGTAGCCTGATAATGTTGGTGGGTGGTAGTACCTAAAATGAACGTGATAGTTACTTAATGTTGAATAGCATTCAAAACTCAAAAGAGATACGTAAAAATGGAGTACTTCAAAAGATTAGACGTTCTTTTTTTCTGCAGATTTTTAAAAATTCACTGTCACTGTCCTCCCGTTCATCAATTGCTCGAGCGGGCCCAGTAATGTCTCCATTGTGAAACTTGTTGTTACTGTGTTTGGCATATTGAATACGTTACGTGTAGCTTGCCAGGCTTTGCTATGCGGGCAAGATACTCTCGGTAGCTTGCTGGGCTCTTCGAGAGGGGCAGAGGAAGCGAATCCAGGTCGGTCGGGTCACTCGCGTGCAAGGCAAACGCTCTACCGCTGTGCTATCGCTCCAGCAAAATTATATTATAAAAATAATGTGTTTATTTTAGATTCTTTGACAAGTACAATTAAGAATAAAAATGAGAACAGATCCAACTCTTACTGTTTATTCCATCCAGAGGCAAAAGATTCTAGCACACTTCTGTTTTCTTCCCCACATTTTAATTAAAAAAGAGTTTGGGGGGGGCTGAGAAGATAGTACAGAGGGTAAAATGCTTGCCTTGCACTGGTCTGACCCAGGTTCAATCCCTGGCACCCCATAGGACTCCCCCAAGCCCACCAAAAGTAAAAGCTGAGCACCACTGAGTGTGACCCCAAATCCAAAATGATACTCCTTTAGAACTAGGAATTGACTCCAGGATTTCACACTTGCAAAGCATATACATATCACAGACAAAAGCCTTTGTTTTTTAAATTGAAATATTTTTTGTTTTTAGGCCACAACCCAAGGTACTGGTTTACCTTGAGGATTGATGCAAGGGATTGAACCCAGGTTGGCCTGGTACAAAGCAAGCACCCTACCTGTTGTATGGTCCTGATCCCTCAACATTTTTATTTAATAACTTTGGTTTTAGGGCCATACCCGTCGATGCTTAGGGGTTACTCATGGCTCTGCACTCAGGAATTACTTCTAAGTGGTGCCTGGGGACCATGTGGAGTCTGGGGATTGAATCCCAGTTGCTGTGTGCAAAGCAAATACTCTTATCTGCTGAATTTTCTGAACTCTCAGGCCCCACAATATTTTTTTTTCATTTTTTATAATTTATTGAATCACCGTGAGAGCAGTTAAAGCTTTCTGGTCTAAGTCTCAGTCATACAACAAAATACCTGTACCTTCACCAGTCCCCATTCTCCAGCCCCCAAAACCCCAGTATACCCCCACCCACACCCTCCTCCTATCTGTGGGACAGATGATTTCCACATTACTCTGTCTCTACTTCGATTACATTCAATGTTTTCACACCAGACCCACCGTTATTATTTGAGATTTTACCCCAACACTCAGATCTGCTGAAAAGGCAACCGTAGACAATTTGTTTTCTATTGTTAGTTATGAATAACATGATGCCACGTGGCTGCAGTAGTGGCCGCATAGTCTTGAAATTCTGAAATTTTAACAATTAAATCTGGAGGGATTTCTGCCAAAACCTGCTGGGTTCCGAGATTTGTTCCTGAGTCTCATGGCCATTAAGCAGCTTGATCAGGAGCCAGAGAGGCCATTCGGCCCCCACAATATTTTAATTTTACTTGTTTTATTTTTGGGCTACACCTGGTGGTGCTTAGGTCTTACTTCTGGCTTTGAATTCCCAGGTCATTCCTGATGGTACTCAGGGGACCATATCGGGTGCCAGGGATTAAACCTGGGTTGACCAAAGCAAATGCCCTACTGCTGTGCTATCTCTCTGGATTCCCCAATTAAAAGAAAGTTATGTGTGTGTGTGTGTGTGTATATATATATATATATATATATCTGTATCACTGTATCATGGCAGAGACTGGCAAGCTACCTGTGGTATATTTGATATGCCTAAAACAGTAACAATAACGGGTCTCATTCCCCTGACCCTGAAAGAGCCTCCAATATGGCAGCGTTGGGAAAGATGAGTAAGGAGAGGCAGCTAAAATCTCAGGATTGGGGTGAATGGAGACGTTACTGGTGCCCGCTTGAGTAAATTGATGAACAGGATGACAGTCATACAGTGGTACAGTGATTTATATGTATATAATAAGTTCATTTTCTTTCAGCAGTCCAGTCCTCTTAATCACTTGTTAGGAGAAGTATTCTCATTTGATTTTGTATCAGAAGCATTTTCTTATGTCATTCTTCATAAATTTATATATGTAGACTCTGTGAATTTGAAAATTTTTTATTTTGGGATTTTTAATTTAAATTTTTTAGGTTTTTGTGTGACACATGATGGTGCTCAGGACTTACTTCTGACTTTATGCTCAGGAATTACTCCTGGAGGTACTCAGGTACTCATGGGGTACGTGGGATCCAACCTGGGTCAGTCAAGTGCAAGACAAGTGCCCTTCCTGATGCTGTTCTGACCGTATAGCAGTTTTTTTTTTTTTTCCCAAAGAATTGATCTTAAAGGTAAAGGCCCTCCCGTTGATTGTCGATTTGCTCGAGCGGGCCCAGTAACGTCTCCATTGGAGACTTTGTTGTTACTGTGTCTGGCATATCGAATACTCTCGGTAGCTTGCCGGGCTCTCCGAGAGGGGCGGAGGAATCGAACTCGGGTCGGCCATGTTGGCCGCTTGTAAGGCGAACGCCCTACCCGCTGTGCTATCGCTCCAGCCCTTGTCCAAAGGAATGGAGCGATAGCACAGCGGGTAGGGCGTCTGCCTTGCACGCGGCCAACATGGCCGACCCGAGTTCGATTCCTCCGCCCCTCTCAGAGAGCCCGGCCTTATAAGTAAAGGGATTTTAAGCTTCACATAAACTTGTTTTGTTTTGTGACCATACTTAGAGGTGTTCAGAGGCTAGTTCTGGCTTTGTGCTTAAGAATGCTCAATAGTAATCCCTGGCTGTGCTTAGGGGAATCATATGTGGTGCCAGGAATTGAATTAGGATCGACCACTTGAATAAGGCAAGCACATTACCTCCTGTACAATCTCTCTGGCTCTGGCATAAAGTTCTTTATGTTTTCCTGAAGAAAAAAAACTTTTTTTTTTGTTTTTGGGCCACGCCCAGAGATGCCCAGAGGTTACTACTGGTCCTGCACTCAGGAATTGGCTCCTGGCGGTGTTTGGAGAACAATATAAGATGCCAGTGATTGAACCCGGGTTCACCAGGTGCAAGGCAAGTGTTCTACCCGCTATACCATCTAAAAACCAGTTCTTGACCTATCTTTGTAAGATTTTTTTTAAAAAAAATGTTTGTGTTCTTGCTAGTGAGATAAAAAGGTCAATGGAACTTTTAAAGTTTTCATTCTATGAAAGATAGACTTGGAGGAAGCCCAAATTACTATGGGATTAAACTCTAGTGAGAAATTGGTAGGTGGAATTCAGACCTTGCGATCCCCAAAGTGTGTTAGCACTGATTAGGCTGAGAGAATGTGAAAATAGCAGAAGCAGGAAAGTCACTCTAGTTTCCTGTCCTGAAATAGGCCATAAAATCCTCTGGTGAGCCAGTGCCCTCCTTAGCTAAACCTAGAGGAAAGGAGGATCTTTTCTCTGAGGACAGAGAGACATTAAAAGGAACTCTAATCTACAGGTCTTGCCTGGTTTCCCCAGTTGATTCCAGTTATTTCTCAGCCTATCATATTCCTCCAGGACTTGTCTACTCTATCAAACTCAGCCTGGAATTCGTTCCCTAGCACCACGGGGTGACTCAGCAACAGAGGCAGTAGTATTCCCTCTCCCAAGCTCTTGCCACAGTGCTACCAGGTATGACAAAAAATAATCTAAATAAATAATTACTTGACAGTTTAATTTGCAGATCCAACTAAGAGAACCTAAGAGAGCCAAAGAACACTTTTTTCTCCCTTGCATTTTCAAAACTAATAAAAAAAATTGAAATATATTTCTCATACCATGAAATTTACTACCTCTACTTTTTAGTATATTCACAAATTTGTGCAGCCATCACCTCTCACTAACTTCAGAGTATTTCACCACTCCAAAATGAGCCCCTAACTAGTCACCCCCTATTCCATCTTCTCAACCCCTGTAGCCACAGATCTACTTTCTGTGTCTGTAGATTTGCCTTTTCTGGACATTTCATGTCAGTGGAATAATTTATTATATATCCATTTTTGTCTAGCTTTTGTCTTGCATTTTGTTTTTCAAGGTTTATACATGTTGTCATATGTATCGTACTTTATAATTTTTCACCATTGGTCACACATGGTAGTACTTAGGCAGGGTTTATTCCTGACTCCTTGCTCAGCGATCACTCCTACTAGGGCTTGAGACACAATATGAGGGTTCTGGGAATTAAACTCAGGTCAGCTATGTGCAAGGCAAGTGCTTACAATCTGTACAATAATATAGTTGTACAATCTCTCTGGCCCCACGTGTCAGTACATTTTTTTGTAGTTGGGTAGCATCCTGTTCTGTGTTTGTGTGACATTTTGTTTATCATCTATCAATGTACATTTTTGTGGTTTTACTTTTTGGTTATTATGGACATTGCTGTTGGGAATATTCCTATTCAAGTTTTTGTGTGGACACGTATTTTGTATTTTAAATTCTTATGGGTGTGTGGAGTGGGGAGTGGAATTGCTGGGTTAAGTCATAATCCTATTTGTGTGTGTGTGTGGAGTGTGGGGCAGGGGTGTGTGTGTCTGTTTGTGTGTGGCGTCCAAAGCTGTGTTCATATGATTCGGGGCCATGTTTGGGGAGTAGTTTGGGTGGTACCCAGCTTTAACTTCTGTGCTCAGAGATCAGTGTTTAGGGGACCTTATGTGGTCTGGGGATTGAATCTAGGTTGGCTGCATGCAAGGCTGTATACCCTTACCCCAGTAGTCTCCAGTTCTGTATCTGAAGAATTGCCCAAAAAGTTGGAACTGTTTTCCAAAGAGACTTCATTTACATTCCCACTAACATTGTGTGAGGTTACCAATATGTTTATGTCCTCTTCAGTATTGTTCTCATTATTTCTATTATTGCCATCCTAATGAGTATTGAGTATTGCTTGGAATGGAGTGACAGCACAGCGGGTAGGGTGTTTGCCTTGCATGTGGCCAACCTGGGTTCGATTCCTCCATCCCTCTTGGAGAGCCCGGCAAGCTACCAAGAGTATCTCGCCCACACAGCAGAGCCTGGCAAGCTTCCCATGGCATATTCGATATGCCAAAAACAGTACCAACAAGTCTCACAATGGAGCTGTTACTGGTGCCCACTCGAGCAAATCGATGAATAATGGGAGGACAGTGCTACAGTGCTACAATGATTATTGAATTGTAGTTTTGAAATGCATGTTTTTTTTTTTCCCTTTTGGGTCACACCCGGCAATGCACAGGGGTTACTCCTGGCTCTGCACTCAGGAATTACTCCCAACAATGCTCGGGGGACCATATGGGATGTTGGGAATCAAACCCGGGTTGGCCGCGTGCAAGGAAAACTCCCTACCCGCTGTCCTATCGCTCCAGCCCCTGCATTCTTATAATGATTAATGATGTTGAGCTTCTTTTTCATATGCTCAAATGGCCCTTTAACAAAGGTATACATACCTTTCCTGGTGACTTATCTATTTAAAGACTTTGCCCATTTTGATGATTGGGTTATTTTTCTTTTAATGTTGAGTGATAGATTTTTTTTAACATATTTTGGATATTAGATACTTCTCAGATAAATATTTGCAAATATTTTTCTCATTTTATGAATTGCTTTCAAATTTATTTATTGGTTATGGAGCCATACCTGCCTGTACTCTGGGCTTACTCCTGCCTCTGTACTTAGGGATCACTCCTGTTGGGACTTGGGTGACCGTATGTGGTGCTGGGAAATGAACAGGGGTAGGCTGCATGCATGGCAAGCACCTTAACCCCTGTACTATCTCTTGTTTCTTTATTATTATGTTTCTTTATTATTATATTATGTTTCTCTTATTATTTCTGGGTAGGGGGTGGGCAGTGTGCTTCCTAACAGTGCCCAGTTGCTCAGGGGCACTCATGGTATACTCAGCCTGGCTGTATGGACCTATTAGTTTGCTGCTTAAACCTAGCAATGTGGTGCTGCCCCAGCCTTGCAGTGATGGAGCATAGGGTTACACCTTGGGACACTAATGGGGCCATGTAGTTACTAGGCAGCAAACTCAGGGTCTGATGCTTGCAGCTCTTCACCCCTTTGAGCCATCTCCCTGCCTAAGTTGTTTTTTTTTCTAGTGTTTATTGATAAAGGTTAATTATGTGTTCTCGCTCTTGCTCTCTCTTATCTCTTGATCTCTCGCTCTCTCTCTCAGTAGGGATCAAAACCAGGCTGTCATAACATGTAAACCTGAGCTCTACACTTCAGTAACACCTTCCAGAATTCTAAATTAAAAACTTTTTATTTTTTTGGGCCACAAATCGTGCTGACTTTGTGCTTAGGGATCACTCCTGGCAGGACTCGGGGATTATACAGAATTCTAGGGATTGAACCAGGGTTGTTTGTGAGTAAGACAAGTGCCCTGCCTGATGTACTTTCCAGCACCCCAGAATTAGAATTGTAAATTTTTATTAGGACTGTAGGCTTATGATATAGCTCAAGGGTAGAGCACATGTCTTATATGGATGGTGAAAACCTCAGTTCCAAACCTGGTAACACACACACCACACACACACACACACACACACACACACACACACCTGATTATCTGTTTTTTTCTTTGCTTATGCTTTAGTGACAATATCTAACAAACCATTGAGAAATCCAAGTTTTCAAGGCTTTACACACCTATGTTTTATTCTGAGTATTTCTGATTTTTTTCTTAGATTTGAGACGGAATTTAACTTCAAAATTAGTTTTCATTTAATCCTGAAACTATTTTAGACTGGGCTGGAGAGAAAGATCACCAGATTTTAAGCCCATACTTTGCATGCGTTAGGCCTGGATTTGATCCCTGGTAGGTCATGTACAAAGCAAGTGCCCTACGTGCTGTACTATCACTCTGGCCCCTGGTCCCAGTGACTCTAATATTTTTAACAAATGAGACTATCTTACTAATTTTTCTTTTATTTATTTATTTGTTTGTTTTTGTGGTTACAAGGATTGAACCCAAGGCCTCACACCCGTAAGACAAGGTTTTTATTTTTATTTTTTTAACCTCTGAGCTACATCCCTAGTTCCTTAGAAGTTCCGTAGACTGCCTTATTTATTACCTCAGCTTTCTTGTTTTTCAGTCAACCAGTATTTTAACTGCAGGTTTAAGGAAGTTGTCAGTGTAATTTATTTTATGAAATGAGTTATGATTCTTATCTTGTTCTGTTATGTTATGCTTACTTCTTATTTTCTTTCTTTCCAAAAAGCTGGAATTGATGTAAATCTGGTCATGCTCCAGGAATCCCAAGTTCATAATAGCAATACCAACCAACAATTCTGTTACAAAAATGTGTTTGTCCCAAAGTGGCATGATATATGGACGCGGATACAGGTAATTGGAGGCCTCCTCATGGGCAGCTTCTGTGACTGACTGTGGTTAGTGAGTACTCTGATGCTTTTTTGTGCTCAAACAGTTTTCTCCTCACACACAAAATGTATTATTAGTAGGCTTACTAGAGTTGAGATACCCAGAATTTTAAAAAAATTACTCATTTATGTCTACTTTGTGTTTTCTTTTCTCCTACTTCTTTAATTAGCTTACAGTATTTGGCACTAAGGTAAATGTTCTCTCTTTCCCAAAAAAAGAGCTTGGCCTCCTTATCTTCCCTTCTCTCCTTTTATACTCAGACACACACCTCATTCTTTTTAAAGGTCTTATGCCTTCTTTGGGCAGGAAACTGTTGCGAGCCTCTCAGGATATAAACTCCTCTGCCATGCTGCTGCTGTTCTCTTTGGAGTCTATATGAGTTGTTTCATAAATCCCCTAACCTGAAGTTTCCCTTGATAGAATAACTGTTTTCTCATTTATCTTAAAACACTATTAAGCAGGAGTGTTTGGTTATAACACTGCTTGAACAAATGAATCCTTTTGTAAATGCTGCTGCTCCTCTAAGTGTAGTTACTGATAAGGACATTTATTGTTCCCATCAGAAAAAGAACAGTGGGCTTGTGATAATTTTAAAAAGTTACTTGTTTTTAATTGAGATAGAAATCATATTCTAGGGATGGCGAGATTACAGTGCAGTGGATAAGGCACTTGCCTTGCATGCAGTTGACATGGGATGGATTTCTGAAGCTTCATATAGTACCCTGAGCCTGCCAGGAGTAAGCCCTGAGCAGAATTGGGTGTGGCCCCCCAAACAAATCATATTCCATCTAGAGCATATTATAACCAACATTTTCCAGTAATCACTGATTTGTGACAAAGGGTTGAACTTCTCAGTCTGTCATTTTCTTTTTCTTTTTTTTTTCCCAGGGCTGTGCATGCATGGCAATTTTCTTAATTTTCTAGGGTATGGCTTTGTATGATCTTTCATAAATAGATGCGTTGATAACTCTTTCTGCTTGAAAGTCTTTTTTTCCCTTGGCCTGACAGTAGATTCAGATCATGTTTTCAACAATTGCTGATGCCACAGTAACAGCTGCCTTTCTGTAGTGTGAACAGAACCTGTTCAGTTAAGTTTTATTTTATTTATTTATTTATTTATTTATTTTTTTGCTTTTTGGGCCACACCCAGCGATGCACAGGGGTTACTCCTGGTTCATGCACTCAGGAATTACTCCTGGCCGTGCTTGGGGGACCATATGGGATGCTGGGAATCGAACCCGGATTGGCTGTGTGCAAGGCAAACGCCCTACCTGCTGTGCTATCACTCCAACCCCTAGTTAAGTTTTATTTAATTATTTTTTAAAAATTTTAATTTTTTTGCTTTTGGGCCACACTCAGCAATGCTCAGGGTTTACTCCTGGGTCTGCACTCGCAGGACCAATCATTCTTGTTGGGAACCATATGGGGTGCTGAATATCAAACCCCAGTTGGCCACATGTAAGGTGACAGCCTTATCTGCTGTACTGTTTCTCTGGCCTCTCAGTTATGTTTTAATACCACTGCCTTTCTATAGTTCTCATAAGCCATGTGAGATTGCCACTGTTACTGATTTCATAGCTTAATTTTTTTAATGTATTTATGAAAAATTAAAAGTTTTACTTCTTTCTCATTCTGATTTTTTTTGTGTTACAGATTCGAGTCAACAGTTCCAAACTGGTACGAGTTACCCAGGTGGAAAATGAGGATAAACTGAAGGAGCTGGAGCAGTTTAGTATCTGGAATTTTGTTTCTTCCTTTTTAAAAGAGAAATTAAATGACACCTATGTTAACGTGGGTCTATACAGCACAAAAACCTGCCTCAAGGTTGATATTTTGGAGAATAACACCAAGTACAGTGTTGCTGTCACCCGGAGTAAGTCTTACCTCTATTTTTCTGATTGAGTCTATAGAGAGAGGAACTGAGCTTTAGAGGTATAATTAGTGAGACTAAGATGTCAGCCCAGGAAAGCTCCATTTTAGTGTTGATTATAACTTGGCTATACCAGTGCTGCAGACAGATCAGGGAAACTCCACCTCACCCAAAATCTGTCAGGCCTAGAACTGAGACTTTACTTCTGGTCACTCTAAATGCCTCCTTACTTAGAACTTAAAGGCTGCACATCTCCTACTGCCAGTGGTCCTGAACTGAGACACTTGCTATTCTTCAGACTATATAGGACAGATGTATTCATGCCTTGTGGGCACTTCTAGTCAAAGACAGATGTTTTGTTACAGAGCTACCTTTGAAGATATGACTATTAGACCCAAAAAATCGAAGGTTAGAAACTGAAACTGAATCCTTTACAAGTAAAAAGAGTATTTGTAGAGGGCTGGAGTGATAGTAGAGGTGGTAGTGCACTTGCCTTGCACGAGGCCAACCAAATTCCCTGACACCACATATGGTCCCCTGAATCCCTCCAAGGTGATCTCTGAGCTCTGAGTCAGTTGTAAACCCTGAGCACCACTGGATGTGGCTCAAAAACCAAAAATCCTGAGAAACAAGTCTTTGTGGAAATATATATTTGTAAATAAATATAAAGCTTATTGGTGAAACGAGGACCATATCATGGTGAATTCTCTGATTTTTTTCTTGGGGGGGGGACCTGGGGGTGCCTTTTTTTTTTTTTAATGCCCTCTTCAGCAGTGCTTGGGCTTCTGCCTCTTTGTTCAGGGTTTACTCCTGGTGGGCCCTTGTCTGACTTAAAAATATTTTTCTCTTTGGTTATTGCACAGGGTCCTGGGATGATGTTAACTGAAATTCCTGGCTTTTACTATGAAATAGGTAGAGCTTTTTGAGTTGTCCTAGGAGCCTCTGGTTCTTTACATTGTATAGAATTTTTGTGTTTTTTTTATTTCTTTATTGGAGTATCTCCCAGGATGTGTTCGGGGTGGCCAGGAGCCATGATATTCCCGGTAGAGTTGCTTGACCCTAGCAGTGTTAGGAGCCAAAGGCCTCTGGGGACCCTGTAGTGCTAGGGATTGCATTTGGGGCCTCTGCATGCCAGGCGTGTGCTCCAACCCGTTGAGATATCTTCCTACCAGGATTGGCCAGTTTTTGTGCTCTTTTATTCCCCTTATACTTTTTCTCTTTGTGGGTCCCCTTATGAATGAGGAAGTGGTGGGAATATTTTGGTATGCCATGTACAGGGCTTCTGTTGGGGCCCCTTGCTTCTGTGTGAGATGTGTTTGAGTGGGGGCTTTTCTAACAGTTTTGTTGTAGTAGAGGAGTACTGTATTGGTGCTGGAAAGGAGAGGCAGTTCCAAAACAAAGGGCCCTGACCCTGAGCAAGGCAAACCTAAACCCGTTTGCAATTGAAGTCTTAGAAGCCAGAGTGGTAGAGACCTCTGGTGGGTGATCATATAAAGTGCAGCCGGCACAATAGTGAGCTCCTTCCAAAAAAGCTTAGTTAAATAAAAATAAGATCTTCAGAAAAGTACAGGTTAGACAAAGACCTAATTATATTTTCTTTTTGGGAGAATGCCCAGGCTTTGTGTGGAATTTGCAATGCTGTTTAGGTGGTTTATTTTAGTTACCATAGCTGGCCAACATTGCCCTTTTATCTATAATGCTTTAAACTGGTTCTCCTATTAAACAGAAGCCTTTATTTATTTCAGAATTTGACTCCAAACTCTTCCTCATTTTCCTCCTTGGACTTATGCTATTTTTTTGTGGAGACCTGCTCAGCAGGTAGGTTCTAAGGCATGGGTGTAAATGGCTAGGTTCAAACCCAACTCAACTTTTTTCCTAAGTACTTTAAAGGCTGCCATTCTCTTTTCAAGGGCCTTTATTGGTAGCTCTTTTCCTGCTTGAATAGTTTTGGTGGGAGGAATTCTTGGTACTTCGGGGCCTCTCTTGGAAGTTTTTGGGTACCAAGCAGTGCCAGAGGTTGAACCTGGGCTCTGGTATGTGAAACCTGTATTCTAGCCTATTGAGATGTTTTCTTGGTCCTTGCTTGTATAAATTTTAAAGCCAGGTTAAATTTATGTTAAAATTTTACTTATTTGTTTGGTTTTGGGGTCACACCTGGTTGTGCTCGGGTTACTACTGCATCTGTCCTCAGGGATCACTTCTGGTGGGGCCCAGGGGACCATATGCTGTGCTGGGAATTTTACCATGGTTGAGTCCGTGTACTGCACATGCTTTACTGCTGTACTGTCTGCAACCTCAGAATTTTATCTGTTTGTCTTTAAAAAGATTGACAATAATACAGTTACCCATTAAGTTGATCGTGTGATGAGATTTAGTCAGTACGTCACCACTTTTTTCACCATTAGTAAAGCCCTCAATCTTACATGGTTAGTATAGAGTTTTATGCCATTCCACATTAATGAAACAAATATCAGTCACTAATTCACTGTTGATCTTTTAAGAACTTACTGAGATAGTGAAACTGACAGGTAAAAATATTAAAAAATTAAGGATAATTAAATATTGAATAAAAGAATGAACATTAATTTTGTACATGGTACACAATTTTTTTTTGTGGATTATTGAGTGAAAGATTAACAGTTAAGTTTGAATTTTGAGCAAGGTTGCTGGAAATTATTCTTTTTTTTTTTTTTGGAATCCCAAGAAACACTAACAGGACAGATGACTATCTGGTGGGAAGAGCTTAGGATAGGATTAGGGGCTCTGCTCTAGGTGCAATTTGTGGTTTTTGCTTCTGTATAATCAGTTCAGTTCCAGTGTCCTGTCAAAACTTGGGAAATATTTTTATCCCTTCTCTCCCCAGAAAAACTATAGGCCCTCAGAGAAAAGATTCTTTTTTGGTTTTAAGTCATACTTGGTGAACATGTATCAGGGCTGTAATTCTGGACTGGGTCCAGCATGCAAAATATGTGCTTCAACTCATTGAGCTCTCTCCCCAGCCCCAGAGGGAAAGATTCTCCCCCCTCCCTTCCCTACACCTTTTTGGACCATACCCTATGGTGCTCAGGGGCTATGCCTGGCTCTTCATTCAGAAATTACTCCTGGCGGTTCAGGGGCACCATATGAGATGCATATAGGTCAGCTGCTTGCAAGGCAAACATCCTACCCTCTGTACTGTCACTCTAGCCTGGAGAGGAAAGATTCTATTTAAAAATTGGTTTGGGGAGCAGGGAGGTAGTGTGGCAGTCAGGGTGCTTGCCTTGCAGACAGCCAAGCTCGGTTCGATCTGTTGCATCCCATATAGTCCTGTGAACCTGCCAGAAGTGATTCCTGAGTGTAGAGCTAGGAGTAAACTCTGACTACTGCTGGATGTGACCCAAAAACCACCACCAACAAAAAATTTAATTTAGAGGGAGACTGGAGAAATTGAATAGGGATAAGGCTCTTGCCTATCATCTGTCTGACTCTGGTTTGAATCCCTGGGACCACATAAGGTTCTCCAAGCGTGCTAGGATTTCTCCTAAGTATAGAGCCAAGAATAGACTCTGAGCACTACTGGGTGGGACCCAAACACACTCTCTGCAAAACTGAAACTGAAACTCATTTCTGAGGGCCTGAGGGCCGAGGGAGAGAGTACAGAGGTTAAAGTGTGCTTGTTTTGCATGCAGCATAGTATTACTCCCCACCACTGCCACTGCCACCTCTTGTCCCCAGAACACTGGTGGGTGTGGTCCAAAGATTCCCCCAGGGAAAATAAAAGTTCCAAGGTGATTATATTACCAATTTAAAAAAAAAAAAAGCAAGTGGGGGCTGGAGCCATAGTACTGCTAGGGTAGGGTGCTTGCTTTGCACAGGTCTGACGGGTTCATTCTCCAGCACCACATACTAGGAGTGATCCCTGAATATAGAGCAGTGGTAAGGCCTGCCAGGTGTGGCCCAAATATACCTCTCATCAAAAACAGAAAAAAAAGGAAGGTAAGAAGGGCATACTATTGGGGTTAAGGCATGTGTCTTGCTTGACTCTGGTTCCATTGCCAGAGTTGCATATGGACCCTAGCACTTCAGGAATGGGAGAGAACCCTGAGCACAGAGCCAGGAGTAGACCCTGAGCCCTACTCCTCAGGTGTGGTCCAAATCTTGCTCCGTCATTCCCTGCAAAAAAAACCAAAAAACAACCCCCAAAACCAAATTGGGTTGGGAGATGATGGAGATAATGGGAGACTGAGCAGAGGTTTATTACAGCAATCCTATGTTTCCACAAGTAATCAAGTCCAAGATTCCCAGTGAATTCCTGAAACCACAGATAATACTGAAATCTATATATAGCATTGTATTTTTCATATACATACACAATACATACACACCTTTGATAAAATTTAATTTATGAATTAGTAAGAGATTAATCTAAATAGAATGATTACAACAGTATGCTTTACTAAAAATTATATGAATATGGTTTTCTCAAGATATTGTACATTCAGACTGAATGTGAGTGAGTGAAACCATGGAATGATAAAGGGTGGAGGTAGAACTACTGTATTTGGATATTTGAGGGCTCCAATTGATATTAATCTTCATAATCCGGTAGCAACCACATTGTTTTAGTCTCTAGGTTTTTTGGCTTTTGTTTTATTTTGGGACTACATCTGACTTACCTCAGGGCTTTCTCCCTATGTTCAGGGATTACTCCTAGTGGGCTTTTGGGAACGATATACGGTGCCAGGAATCGAACCTCTGTACTGTTTCTCTGGCTCCCAGCTTCTAGTTTTCTGAACTCAGTTTTTCTGTAGTTCACTGCTTTAGTCTTTTTTTTTTTTTCCACTTGTTGGCCACACCTGGTGGTGGTTCTTAGGGGCTACTCCCAACTTGGTGCTCATTGGATTTAACCAGACCCTCTTGCATGCAAATCATGCACTCTAGCCATTGAGCTCACTGGTCTCTGGTCTTTTTCTTATCTTGACTAGGATAATCGTCTCAGTTTGAGCAATGGCCTATTTGAGGAATGCATTCATAGTCATGAAATAAATGTTCTTTCTGCAGAAACCATATCTTCTACTATTCCACTGGGATGAGTGTCGGAATTGTAGCTTCTCTACTAATCATCATTTTCATACTGTCTAAATTCATGCCAAAGGTATGTAATAGAACCCTTGCTTGTTATTAAGATGAATTTGGATAGTTTGCAAGACTGTTTTTTTTTTCTTTCAATTTTTTTTTTTTTTTTGGCTTTTGGAGTCACTCTTGACGATGTACATGGGTAATTCCTGGCTCTGCACTCAGAAATTACCCCTGGCTGTGTTCAAGGGACCATATTGGATGCTGAGAATTGAACCCGGGTCAGCCGCATGCAAGGCAGATGCCCTACCCACTGCGCTGTCACTCTAGCCCCAAGACTGTTCTTTTGAGTAATCCTACAGTGCTGAAATTTGCACTGGGTACTGATAAGTCAGTATCCTTCACTTTCCTTGATTCAGAAAGGTACTTTCCATTTTGAAACTTGGAAACTCTCCCTTTATAGTTAAAATTCTGTGCTCAGTGGGAGATTAGTATCTCCTTTTTGTTTGCTGATTCCATAGCCAGGCTTCAAGTCATTTAGCATCTCATTTTCCCCGCTTTTTTTTTTTCAGATTCTACCATATAAAATGTAAAGGACATCTTTTTAAAAATGTGTTTTCTGTGCATTTCTAGTAGACTTAAAAAATTCCATTTTGCTGCTTTTATGCTTGTAGTAACTTTCTGCTTTCACTTCTATTCTGTTTTAGAAAAGTCCCATTTATGTCATCCTGGTGGGAGGCTGGTCCTTTTCTTTGTACCTCATTCAACTAGTTTTTAAAAATTTACAAGAGATCTGGAGGTGTTACTGGCTGTATCTTTTAAGTAAGTGTTACTAGTTTTGCTTTTCTTTTACATGTTTGTAAATTGTTGTACTTAATGTGATTATGAATGCTATTGTTTGCTAATAGTTAAACACTCCATACTATTTTATTAACTTTTAAAAATAATGATTATTCACTTGTGTCTAATTCCCTGTATTGTCACTTTCTCTCACAGTGTTGCTTTAGAATTGGTTTGTTGATATTTGTAAGTGCACCTATATTTATAGTGCACTTATATTTATACACAGTATGCATCTTTCTGAAAAACTGTAAATTGACACTTTGGGATCTTAAGGACTATTGATGTGTAATATATAAAAAACACTAATATTTTTTCTTGGTTGAGAATAATCTATAAGCTACCTGGGCTGGAGTGATAGCACAGTGGGTAGGTTGTTTGCCTTGCATGCGGCCGACCCGGGTTCTATTCCTCTGTCCCTTTCAGAGAGCCCAGCAAGCTACCGAGAGTATCCTGCCCGCACGGCAGAGCCTGGCAAACTCCCCATGGCATATTTGATATGCCAAAAACAGTACCAACAAGTCTCACAATGGAGATGTTACTGGTGCACGCTCGAGCAAATCGATAAACATTGGGAGGACAGTGACAGTGACAATTAAAAAAAAGACTAGAATTGTTCAACATGTGCCATTTGAGTAATTTGGGACAACTGAAAGGACGGAAATTTAAAAAGCTAAATATGCCCCTGTAATGAAGGAACTATAAATAATTGAGTGTGTTTTAATGACCTAGTAGGTGCAATATATTAAATTTAATGCTGTCTCCTTCTGCTCTGCTCTCATGAAATACTTTTATCAATTACAGATGAAAAATAGTGGATTTTGATAATTCTCCTTATATATACAGGCTATATCCTCATAGTTGGATTCATGAGTTTTGCAATCTGCTACAAATATGGACCATTGGAAAATGAACGAAGTATCAACTTGCTTACCTGGACCTTGCAGCTGATGGGCCTATGTTTCATGTATTGTGGTATCCAGATTCCACATATTGCCCTTGCCATTATCATCATTGCACTGTGCACTAAGAACCTGGAGTACCCTATTCAATGGCTGTATATTACCTACAGGTGACTGAAAGGCAAAGTAACTATTTAAGTGTGCAGTACAGCAAAAGTATACAGAGATATTGAACTGGAAGCCCCTGTACTATTGAAAATTTATTGTAGTATTCTTTAATTTCTTAAAAATTTCTGTAGGCATTTTTAGAATTTTATTCTAGTCATTTTATATAAAATAAAAGCAGCCAGCAAAGTGTTATGTGTTCCTGTTACCACTAGGTGGTGCAAAGTATATCACTTTCTTACCAAGTACCACAGGTCACCTGATTTCAGAGTAACATTGGTTCTCTGATTGCTGTGGGGAGGCCTACTTTTTTTTTTTTTTTTTTTTTTTTTTGCTTTTTGGGTCACACCTGGCAATGCACAGGGGTTACTCCTGGCTCTGCACTCAGGAACCACTCCTGGCGGTGCTCAAGGGACCATATGGGATGCTGGGGATCGAACCCTGGTCAGCCGCTTGAGAGGCAAACGCCCTACCCGCTGTGCTATCTCTCCAGCCCCAGGCCTACTTTTAAAATGTAAATCATAGCATGTTTTGATTTAAGTCACACCTTACATTGTTACAGATTTCTGAGGTTACAGATAGAAGGGGATGTCTTCAATTTGGGGACCAAATTAACGGACTGTGATTTAATACTTTATTTTAACGCTGTCTTTCCATCTACTGGAAAATAAATATTTTATAATTTATTGGAATATAAGTGCATTTTTTCACATTAGTGAATAATACTATTCTAATTTATCGCTTATAGTTTAGTGTGTTGAGTACATTATAACTAACGATGCCTGTGAAGGAAAGGTGAGAGTGCTCATCGTAATGTTCATGCTCTCACTTGTATGCTTGGCTCACTGAAGGAAGCTAGAGGTAAGGTTGACTGTAGATTACTGATTAATGATCATAATGTTATTTTGGTGAGCACAGAAAGGTGCGTAAGGCCACAGGAAAGACTGTCCCTCCTCGTCTCCTGACAGAAGAAGAGTATCGGCTACAGGGGGAGAGAGAGACCAAAAAGGCTTTAGAAGATCTTCGAGAATATTGTAACAGCCCAGACTGCTCTGCTTGGAAGACTATTTCTCGAATAAAGTCTCCAAAGAGGTAAATTCTCAGTCAGATATGCCAAACATCTCTCACTAATTTTTGAACTTAGCTTTATTTATTTTGGGGGCTTTTGAGCTATACCCAAAAGTACTCAGGGCTTATTTCTGTCTGTCTGTCTGTCTGTCTGTCTGTCTCTCTCTCTCTCTCTCAGGGATCACTTCTGGTGGTGCTCAGGAGAACCCTATAGGGGATTGAATTGAGGTGGACTGTGTGCAAGGCAAGCACCTTAGCCCCAGTACTATCTCTCTGCTCTTAACCTTAAATTTTAACTGAGATTATGCTTCTAGAAAGCCATTTGGTATTTGTGGCATTATTTAGTCATTATTCCTGTTTATTTTGGAGAATTTGAGGGAACTGTACATTTATGTTATTTAAAGTAACCTATTGGGGCTGGAGTGATAGCACAGTGGGTAGGGCATTTGCCTTGCACGCAGCTGACCCAGGTTCGATTCCCAGCTTTCCATGTGGTCCCCTGAGCGCCGCCAGGAGTAATTCCTGAGTGTAGAGCCAGGAGTAACCCCTGATCATTGCCGAGTGTGACCCAAAAAGCAAAAAAACTAAAAGTAACCTATTTACTGGTTCCTTAAAGACCTATATCTATTTTAGCTTTGAGTATGACATTGGTCCTATACCATGTTGGTTCCCCTCTGATAATTTTAAGGGTAATTTTTTAATTTTTATTTATTTTGGTTTTGGGACTATTCCTGATAGTGCTTAAGGCTTCCTCCTGGCTCTGCACTCAGGGATCATTCCTGGCAGGCTCAAGGGAGCCATATGGGGTACTGGGTATTGAACCTGGGCTCCCCAGGTTTAAGGTAAGCATCATAGTACCTACTGTACTATCTTTCTGATCCTGTGTATTTTTTTTTAATTTTTGCTTTTTTTGGGTCACACCCGGCGATGCCCGGGTTATTCCTGGCCTTGCACCCAGAAATTACCCCCCGGCAGTGCTCAGGGGACCATATGGGATGCTGGGAACCGAACCCGGGTTGGCCGCGTGCAAGGCAAATGCCCTACCTGCTGTGCCATCACTCCAGCCCCTGATCCTGTGCATTTTTTAAAAATTGGATTTAATTTGTACATTAAAAAATTTTGTTTTATTTCCACCCCCCCATTGTTTGGGAGCAATTGTACCAATAAATATGTGAAGTACCAATTTGCAATACCAATTATATAAAACTTATAGGGCCATAAACATGAATAAATACATAATGCTCTATAATCTCTTATCAGAATTCTGGATGACTAAGGGAACCTTAGTACTTCACAGCTTAAGTGGCTAGGCTAGTGCTTATTAAGCAGGGCATGCTGGCCTATGATCCCAGTTTTCCGCCTATGATCCCAGTTTTCCTCCTATACACCTGTCAGCATGGTCAGGGATGGCCAAAAAAGACCAAAATATTGACTAGATTCAACATAATTTGGACCCTGAGCATATCAATGATTTTTAATTGCTTTCATTTTGAAAGATAACCAGAAGGAACAGGGGGCAGGTCCTAATGAGTATTGCCTTCTCTTTTTTCCAGATTTGCTGACTTTGTGGAAGGCTCTTCCCACCTCACACCAAATGAAGTTTCTGTTCATGAGCAGGAGTTTGGATTAGGAAGCATTCTTTCTCAGGTGGATATCTCTGAAGAAACCTCTTCTGAGGAGGAGAATTCTGAATTTTGGCCCCCCACTATCACACAAAATGATTTCCTGACCTAAGTAATGGTCAGAATTTTTATGTGGACTGACTTGGTACCTCAAGGTCCAGGTTGCATATCTCGTGCAATTGTTTCTCAACTTTTAAATTGGGTAAGATTGTGCAGATATTCTACCAAAATTAGAGGTCTGAGGAGGCCTCTCTCTGGAAATGGTCTTGATCTCAGTGGGATGCCCGAGGAAAGAGAGAGGATAAAGTAGTGAATACTCCTGGTTGCTGTCCGTTGGTTAAGCTGCCTACTACTTTTATGTTTCTAAAGAAGCTGAATGGCCACAGCTAATGCCACAGCAAGAACAGCTCTCTGGCACCTCTCTGAAACTTGATTTAGTCCTGACATTTCTTCCTCTGTTACTAGAACTCAGAAATAAGAAGTGTCACTTGGAACAGTAACATTTTTAGATTGTAGGCAGCATCTTCCAGGAAGAAATCTGCAAATCTGAGCCTCTTTTTTACTTCTGTTTTATTTTCAGTGATTTTTGAATAATTCTTATTTGAACTATTTTACAAGGAAAATGGATTTTTGTTGTTTTTCTTATATATGAATATGTGTATGTATTTTAAATGTAACAAACTATCTAGAACCAGCAAGTGCCCCAGAGAGACATGCCCATAGCCCATATATATATGTATATATATACACATTATATATATTATATATATATTACTATGGATTATCCATGAAAGTCTAGGAACTCTTGTGTTGAGCTTTAATTGGTTTTCAGATATGTTGTGTTTGAAGCCCTACTTGCTTTTTGGAACATCCCTGTAAACTCTTCTGTAGGGTAGGGTTTTTGGACTTTTTATTAAATTAAACTTTATGTTTTCTTTTGAAAGTACAGTTGTACTCTTCCCATTCCTCCTTGTCCTTTTTGCCTTTTCAAGTAGGGGTTGTTCCGGTTTGTTCTGTTTCTTATATTCTCTTCCTCTTGGTTTATAACATTATTCTATGAGTTAGGGGAAGTGATCTTCCTTAAGAACTTAAATTCTGTTTCATAGATTCTCTATTTTTCTGTCAGGGGGTTACTTTTCCTCACTTATCTATTTCGTGAGAAAGCATTGTAAAGATGCAGAAAGTCTCCTCTTTAAGTAAATTCCTAATGAAATATAGTTTCTATCTCAAGACCAGTTTTGTGGGGTATTTTTTCCTACTGTGTTTGAATTTGGGGTGAGTAAAATCAAACTCAATTTTTTTTTTTCTTTTTTGCTTTTTGGGTCATACCCAGCGATGCACAGGGGTTACTCCTGGCTCTGCACTCAGGAATTACTCTTGGTGGTGCTCAGGGGACCATATGGGATTCTGGGAATCGAACCTGGGTCGGCTGTGTGCAGGGCAAACGCCCTACCTGTGCCCCCAAACTCAATTTTTGACTCCCTTGTCTGGTGGTTTCAGGACTGGACCATGGGCAGTGGCGATGACAGTGGGTCCTGTAGCATGAGCGCTTCTCTCAAAGAGCTGACGTGCCTGGGGTGTGTCTTGTGTCCCTGCCCTGCCTACGCAGCTCCACCCCAGGTGCCTCAGATTCTCTGTGTGCTGGAGATTGCCTGGCTCTGTCGGTAAACATTTAGAAGCTGCTCATTTCCCTTTTGACTATTTAGTTGGCTGGCTCAGTCACTACTCAGCCCCCATTTAATTTTCTCTGGCAGTTACAGCTCTTGCAATTTCAGCATAGTCTCTTCCCTCAGACTGATCTCATCAGGAAGGCTTGAAGGGATAACTGTGGAAATGGCTGGACATTGGAGCCATGTCTGCTGCCATGTCAGCATCTTGCTAGGCAAGTATCAAGCTATAAATTGGCTCTAAGGCTCAGGGTCTCATCAGCATCGGAAATCCATCGCCTCTTGTATGTCTGACCAAGTTATGTGAACATGACTTCTGTTAATGGGAGTAGAATTCAGTTGCCCTGATTTTTTCCTTTCTCTTTCCCCACTCAAATTGCTTTCATAAGACCAGTGGACCCAGTGACTAAAAATAAATTTGTATAAGCCACTTTATTCATTCAATATTAATTTATTTCTCCCCCCCCAACTTTATGATTTTTGTATCTGTTACCAAGGAGACTGAGTCCCAATGTACCATTTTGTGCTAATAAATCTCTGAGGCCTACCTTTCTTTCACTGTGTTCCTTCCAGCTCAGTTTGACGTGACCTATGTGATAGAGATGATAAATGAAAGAATTCAGAGTGGCCAGATAATAACTCTAGACTCTGAGGAAATGAGAAACTAGGAAATGAGTTATACTGTTGCCCTCAATTTTTTTCTGGATTTGCAGATCAGGCACTTCTGAAAGAGCTCAGGTATGGTAGTATTCCGGGGCTACCTGGGCCATACCCTGTGGTGCTAGTTGGGGTGTACTATCTTGGGGATTTGACCTAGGGCCTCACATATACAAGGCATGTGCTCTACCATGTGAGTCACATCCCTAGCCCCCTGAATGATTTTGTTGTCCCAGAAAAAGATGATTTGAGATGAATATTTGTGTTAACAGTGGCTCCCAGTTGTGTACTTATAAAACTTTTCTTTGAGTAGCAATAGTTGAAGTAGGAGGAAAGGAAATTAAATGTCCTTTTTATATTCTTTTGGACTCAGGTCTGACATATGAGATAATACCTTATATTGAAATGCCAGGAATTTTATCTGAACCCAAGAGAAGACAGCCTGACAGATTTATTATGTCTCTATATTATATAGGCAATGAAATCAAATAATAAATGCAAAGGAGTTATTTCACAAGGCAAATGCACCATTGCTTCTATTTTGGTATAATAGAAATTATTATTTTTGTGGAAACCTATGTGGTTGTGGTAATTCTGTGGTGTTTCTTCATAGATTTTTGCATTCAGTTGCTGTTCAATTGGAGTCTAGATGGTTACATCCTTGAAAAGGTGTTTAGTGCCTTACCTGATGAAAACTAGTGTCTGCTGGGAATAAGAGCAGATTCATGGCAGAGTTAGTGCTTTAGCGGGTTGGGGATAGTCATGCAGTTTCCCCAAATGTTGGACTTTGGGCTTTTTCCCCACATCTCTTGTTACACTTGACAGTTACTTGAAAATGTTGAAATAGCCTTCTCTGAGCTTTCCTGCAGCACAGATTGGTGAAGAAACAGGTGTAAGGAATTATTACATAATTTTGGCCTGTGGGTAATGCCTTAGTGTTATTATTACTATTATTATTTTTAAAGTCGTTTAAAATAAATGTTTATGAATGTTTGAAAGGAACAAAATAATCAGGGATGGCTCTTTGCCATGGGTCTCATTTTCACTCTTTTCTGTAAGAAAAAAATAACGATGTCTTATTATATATTTTTTCATTTTTATTGTACAAGTTTGTAAGTATTCCCAATTTTAATAAAGTTTTATGGACTCTACAGTGGTTTCTCTTAATGAACATGTACTTTTCTTGTTTGGAGCCCTTGTTTGTAGGTAGTCGTCATTTAGCTCCTCAGTTTTCTTTCGCTAATGCTCTGCTTTGTGTGTTGTCTAGTTTCTTGTTTTTCTTTAACCCTGCCTTCCATCCTGGGTCTGTCTTGGTCTAAATCCTTCATTGGCCTGACTGATTTTCCAGTATGCCAGCTCTCTAAGGGGTATCTCAGGAATAGCAGGTGATGCCATTGTACTGTCTCAATAAAACAATATATAGGTTTTGTTCCTAGTTCAGGAACTCCCTTGTATTTCCTTTTTCTTTTGGGGTCTCCTCCCAAGCAGTGATCAGGTGGCCTGGGGCTGTTTCCAGTGATATTTGGGCAGACAGTTTAGTGCTAGGGCCCCACGATGCAATATTGCTCAGGCAGTGCTGGGCCCTCTCAGGGCAACGATGGCTGTGCTCAGAGGGCCTCCAGGGCTACACCTAGCAGTTCCCAGACACCTCCAGGGCTATACCTGGTAGTGTTTGGACCCTGTGTTATCTCCCGGGCCCAGTCTGTTTGGGAGTGGGAGTGGGAGAAACGACCAGAAGTGCTTGGAGGTTACTTCTTGGCCTTGTGCTGAGATGGGTAGTCTCTCTTGGGGACCGATGAGGTACCAGGGATTCGGCAACATGCAAGGCAAGTGTCTTCACCCCTGTACTATCTCTGGCCTCGCTCTCTTGCTTTTCCACTGTGTTGAAAAGACCTGTGGATTCAAGCAGTGAGATGCCTGCTAAGAGCTTTGTGTGGGTGGTAGAGGAACAGAGCTGTGGTGAGCATTAGGAACCATGGAATAAAAACTTTAGTTGTGTATAGCTTATGCAGAAGGGATTGTACTTTTTACGTTTTCCCTTTTTTTTTTTGCTCTGGGTATCATTGTAGCATTTACATTAAATCTGTACCTTTCTCTTTTCAGTTATTTACATTATAAGGAATTTCATGTCCAGTTTTGGAAGATAGTTAAAAAGGAAGGAAAGGATGTAGACGGTAGTGAATTTATGTTTATAAATGTATATTAATGACATCTTTTGATCTCCCTTTTTAAATTACTAGGTAATAAATATAGGTGATAATTAATGGTTGGATTAATAAAAACTTAAGATACTAATGGTTGAATCATTAAAAACACCTAACAAGGGGCTGGAGAGATAGCACAGCGGGTACGGCGTTTGCCTTGCATGCGGCCGACCCGGGTTCGATTCCCAGCATCCCATATGGTCCCCTGAGCACCGCCAGGAGTACAGAGCCAGGAGTAACCCCTGTGCATTGCCAGGTGTGACCCAAAAAGCAAAAAAAAAATCATGAGTTTTTTGGGGTTGGGGAGGTCATACAGGGGTTAAGATGCTTGCCTTGCACATGATGAAGCTTCTTTCAATCCCTGGCATCACTTATGGTCTCTTGAACACTGCCAGAGCCAGGAGTAAGCCCTGTGTACTACTGTGGGCATCCCACACAAATAAAAGGTTTGCTATATCATAGGGCTTTAGTAAGAATTAGTGTATTAAGCTGTTCTCAAATCTTACCTGGCAGGCTGGGGAGAGTCTTCAAAGGGCTGGAGCATGTTCTTTGCACTTGGGAGCCGTGGATTCAGTGCCTGGATCACATATTCCCTTGAGCGCTGCTCTGGGAATGCTAAGTACCCCTGGGAATGACCCCCATACACAAAATGTATTAACCAGAAATATAACCTCAGCATGCAGAAGAATTCTCATCAGGGGAATTTGTGAAAATTCGTACTTCTGATTCAGTAAGTCTAGGTTGGGGCCCAAGATTCTGCATTTCTATTGTTTCCAGATGTTTCAGATGCTGCTGCTTTGCGGACCTCACTTTGACGAGGAAGAATGAAAACCACTTTGCTCCTTTCCTGGAACATCATAGTAAATGCTAGAGAGCTGTGTTGTTGTGTTGTTTCTAATGATACAATATGGTTTGTGGAAGTCAGGAAGCCCCCTGGGATCTGGGAGATAACTCAAAGGGGAGCACATGCTTTGCATATGGGAACCCTGGTTCAGTCCTCAGCACCACATGGTCCCCCAAGTCTGTTGGGGTCTGCTGAGAGTAGCTCCTCAGCACCACTATGTGTGATCAAAGAGAGGAAAAAAGACTCTACCACTATCTCCCCCACTAATCTGCCATATCTGAAAATATCTGTGTTCATGTGCAGTAACATCTAATAGATTTTTTTTACTCACTTTTTAATAAAAAGTGAGTATTAGGGACAGGGAGATAGTACAGTGGGGAGGGCACTTGCTTTGCACGTGATCAACCTCCACATATGATTCCCTGAGCACTGCCAGGAGTGAACTAGCACAGAACCAGGAGTAAGCCCAGAGTACCACTAGGTGTAGCCCCCCACCCCCCAAAAAAAGTGAGTATGGAGGGTCAGGGATATGACTTAAGTGCTAGAGCACATGTTTTGCATGTGAAAAGCCATGAGTTCGATCCCTGGCACTGCATGGCCCCTGAGCATGACCAAATGTGGCCCCCACAATTAACATCAACAAAAAAGGACTGGGTATGTGACTCAGTGGTAGAGTACTTGCTTTGTGTGTGTGATGTACCAACACCAACACCACAAAAACATTAAGTGACCATTCCTGGAAGAACTAATGAGTGTGAACTGGTTTTATCAGCCTGTTGCCCTTTCAACTTTTATCAGAGTAGGCACCGAAGTACTCTAGGGTTGGTTTTTATTTTTTTGCCAGTTTTATTGGGTATAATTTACATACAATAAAGTTCATCAGTTTTAAATGTTGCTGACTTGGCGCCAGAGAGATAGTACAGCAAGTAGGGTGCTTGCCTTGCATGTGACCAACCCAGGTTTGATCCCTGGCATCCCATGTAGTTCCTGGAATCTGCCACGAGTGATCTCTGAGCACAGACCCAGAAGTAAGCACTGAGCTCTGATGGGTGTGCTCCCTCGCATTTTTGTTGTCGTTGTTGACTTCTGATAAATGGGGATGGTTGTGGCACCAATCACCACCACAGTCATGATTTAGAGGTGTTCCACCACCCCAAAATGTTCCCTACATCCATTACACAGACTAGATATTTTACTAGAGGAGAAATTTTTTTTTTTTTTAACCAGAGTGGAGGAAGATCAAGAAACTCTAGCTGCAATTTTTCCTGGGTAGCAGGCGGTCATAGTCCTTACCCCATAATGCCCCTTCCTCACTTGAGGAATGCTTTGACAGGTTTTGAAATCCCAGCTGACTCAGAAGTGTGTTTTATACCTTCTTTGTTTAGGCTGGCCCACTCATTCCTGGTCTTAGCACTCATTCTCAAGTACAGAGAACTCATCTTGAGCCTCAGACAAATCAAGAGTACTGGGTGACCCAGTTTAAATATACTCATGCCATTGTTTCTAAGCTTGCGTTCAATTCTTTCATTTTAGAGTTGCATCTCTCACATTGAAGGGTAGTGGGTGCTGACTGAGAGACTGGGTAGGCACAGATAAATCACAAAGTTGTAGGCAGTTGGAGATTTCCCTTGCCCTGGAGAACAGCAGACCTGAGTTCTGGTCCCAGCTCTGCTGGGATTGCTGCAGTAAGATCCTGAAAGTGACTTTTCTAGATCTGTTTCCTTCACTGTGAAAAAAACTATAGTTCTTTGTGCCTCTGACCCTGAGAACTGCTATGCCTATATGGAGGGTTATGTTCTGATGTCATATCCATTTAGCATTCTCTTTTCCTTGCCTTTCCCCCCTTCAAATGTATATGTATAGTTGATCAATAAATTATGTAAGGAAAGCTTGATAATGGAATTGCTGATTGGATAGGTTATGCAGACTGCTTCTCAGCAATGAGTTTGGACCTTGAACCAAGCAAGGCTGGGAGTTGAAGAACTAAGTATTATCTTCAGCTAAGTGGCTATGATTACCTAATTCTCTGTATGCACATGCCTGGGAGAGGGGATGGTGGGCAGAAGGAGCTGTTTAGGAATTTTCCTGGAAAATAGGATTTTACAAGCTTTTCACCTATTGGAGGCAGGGCTAGTGCCTAGGAAAGCCTCTCAGGTGCTTTCTTAGAGTGCTTGTGCTGAAGATTAAGTGGTAGTTGGGTTGGAACCTTTGGGTGATGGAGGATCGCATTCTGTTCTCACTTCTGCCATGGATTGTGTGGAACTCTGGGCCCTTTTACAACCTCTCAGAACCTTATCTGAACGTTCTTCCAGCTTTGCTTTTTAGTAGAGTGAGCATATGCGCAGTCTCCTCTGAGGGCAGTGTGGTTCAGTGATAGGATTGGGTGGGAGGTCAATGAAACCGAGGTCCACACAAATGCCGGATGCTAGTACTAACTTCAAGTAGACAGGCCAAAGATCAAACAGGGTCAGATTTATGAGAAAGAAAGTGGAGAGAACTTTGGGAATTTGACCTGCTTAATTTTCATAGTTATAATCATGAATCTCTTCAACTTCTACTAAGTAAGGGCTGGGGGAGTTTCCATTTCTGTGCTAGGAGGATACCCCAGCTTCTTTTCCTCTTGGAGCAAATTTCTGGCTTTTATTTGGCTGTAAATTCCACTCCTATTGTCATATCCAAGTTTCTTTTTTTGGGGGGGGAGGGGGATGGAGCAAGAATTCTACTTAAGCCCCTCAACTTAGACCAGTCAAATACTTTTCCACTGAGAGGAGGCTCCTGGTGATGGGACAGTGTCTGTCTCTGAAGCTGCTGACCCAGGAAGAGTTAAGTGAGCCACACCCTCGGCAGGAACAGCCTCGGACTTTGTGCTGAGCAGCTGTCTCTGGCCTTTCCTGGCTTGACTGGCACAGGGAGCCCACGCTGGAGAAAGCAGCTCAGAGGGAGGTCAGAAGAGAGGCCACTGGCAAGAGGAGAGCAGCCTCTTTGCTGGCTCCCAATACCATGGACAGTTCCCCCTAACTCCTACACTCAGCACCCTTGGGGCCTGGGACCCCATCTCCCCTTCTGGTCAAATTGCAATTTCATCCATCTCTCTTCAAGGGACGCTGAAGTCATACGCTAGTTCCAGTGTTGGGTAAGTCCTACCTTGACCTAACCATGGTTGCTCTTTTCACATTTTAGGGTGTTCTACCTGGGGCCAACCTCCTTTTCCCCCTACCTTGCTTCCAATCACATTCCCACTCTTTCCTGATCCAAATCCAAAGAAAATGCCTTCTCCTCACCTTGCTTCTGCTTCTCACCCTCCCCTGCCAAGTTACTTTAAAAAACATAGAAGGTGTTGGATAATGATTGTACCCCCTGGAATTTGCAGCGAGTGGGTGTCTGTAAAGTGTTCAAACCCTGGCAGATTGTGGTGAGCCTGCTGGATACTGCTGTCATCATCCTTCTTAATGCTCTCTCAGTTGGAGCCTTCCAGGAACTGACAAATACTCTCATTTCCTGGGATTTGGGGAAAGCTGAATGAAGGGAAAATCAGGAAGCTGGTAGCCCCTTCCTGCCCAGCCTTCTACTCCTGTCCCCCTCATGCCCCACGTTGTTTGCAGGAGAGGAGGAGGATCTGGCTCTTGCGCTCCTGGCAGGGCGGGGCTGCGACCATTGTACTAGCAATTCTGTTGGGGCCACCTCACCTTCACTCTCCCCCAGGAGAGACTAAGGGAGGCTGGCTTCCTCCTGGCCTCACCTGCCATGCGTCGGCTGCATGGAGACCCAGCCCTACCACACTCCCTGCTCCTGCAGCCCTGCTCTCCCTGTCCTTTCCCACCAGTGACTAAAGAGCTGGGTGTGTCTCTCTGGGCCAGAGTCCATGTCAGTTTATGAGAATGGGTGTAAAAATGAGAGAGAAAAACGGGAATAGATGTGTAGGCCCAGCCTAAGATCTTGGTTGCTACTTGTTTTCTGGGGAAAGGAGCCTTGCTCTAATTTTCTTTCCTTTCTGGGGGAGGGAAGGCATACCTAGTAGTGCTCAGGGATTGCTCCTGGCTCTGCATGCACTCAGGAATCATTCCTGGCGGTGCTCAGGGGACCATGTGGGATACTGGGGATGGAACCCAGGTCAGCCATATGTAAGACAAATGCCCTACTTGCTCTACTATTGCTTTGGCTCCAGCCATCATTTTCTATAAGATGCTCCCATTCTTTTGTGGAGGGAATGCCTGTATTTCTGAACTCGCCTGACCCAGTCCCCATTTGGAGAAATGAATCTCACTGATTGATAAGAGGGAAGAGGAACGTTTACTCTAGCTGTGGATGGGCAGTAACTGAGTCTGGGGCTGTGAGAGGTGGGCAGGAAAACTGCGGGCAAACATTGCTGACCCGCTCCTCTCTCTCTCCTGCAAGGACACCTGGGCATCTTTTTTACCTCTTGTCAGAGGCAGTGGTCCTGTTCCCGTCCCACCCCCCAACCAGGAGCAGAGGGTTCTCTGCCTCCTTCTGCGTGTCCCGTCTCCCTAGCGAACTGGGCTAGTTCCGAGCTTCTCCTGGGCAGGAGGAGGCTACTCCAGAGGCCTGGATGACAAGGACAGGAAGGTGTCAAGGTCTTTCTGCCTGTCTCCCCTCAGTTTCTGGCCCCTAAAGTGGAACAGTCACCAGCACACCCCCTCACCCCTTATTCTTAGCATCTTTGTTGCCTCTGAACATGAGTCTCCTGGAACGTTCTGTGGGGGTGGAGGACCTTGTCCTTCTGGAACCCCTGGCGGAAGAGTCTCTGCTCAAGAACCTCAAGCTGCGCTATGAGAGCAAGGAGATTTACGTGAGTGCTCCAGGGTGGCCCTTGGCCGTGGGTGTGTGGGTCAGTGTGCTCCTGCTCTCCCCAGCCCCCACCCCGCTCAGGCTCCTTCTTTCCTCCCTTCTTTCCTCCCTCCAGACTTACATCGGGAATGTGCTTATCTCCGTGAATCCCTACCAACAGCTGCCCATCTATGGCCCAGAGTTCATTGTCAAGTACCGGGACTATACCTTCTATGAGCAAAAACCCCATATGTGAGTAGAGGGATGCTGGGAGGACTAGCTTTGGATGTTGAGACATCTTGTTTCCTCTTTTCTTTCCTTGGAAGGAGGTTCTTCAGCTCCTACTTCCTCCTTTACCCCTCACTGGCTGCCTCGACTGCAGTCTGTTCTCTTGGAAGTGTGGATGAATATAGGGATTGAGTGACACAAAGTGTCTAATATTGACCCCGCTTGATTCTTCACTTCTTTGCTTCCTACAAGCTATGCGTTGGCAAATATGGCCTATCAGTCACTGAGGGATCGGGACCGAGACCAATGCATCCTCATCACAGGCGAGAGTGGAGCCGGGAAGACAGGTGAGGTGCCTGGCTATTGCTGGAACTCCCTGCTGGTCCTGCTCTCAGGAGTTCTTTCCCAGGTCTCCTGACTTGGAGGGATTTGAGATACTGAGCTAAGTGGTACTCAGGTGCTGGGGTCTCATGGGAGGATTTCTTTGTCACAGAGGCTAGTAAGCTGGTGATGTCTTATGTGGCGGCCGTCTGTGAGAAAGGGGAGCAGGTGAATTCTGTGAAGGAGCAACTGCTGCAGTCAAACCCGGTGCTGGAGGGTGAGGATTGGTGTTTCTGCACTCTCCAACCCTACCCACTGCCCCTCAGAACCTCAACCCTAATCCCCTTCCCAGAGTTCCAAACACCCACTGCACCTCTTACCTGAGGACTCAGAGGTGGGCACAGTGACTGTAGACCCAAACCCGCAACCCCCCCCCCCCCCCCACACACACACACACTCTTTTTTGGACTCCCTCTTCTCTCACCACTTCACATCCCCTTTCTTATTTCTGCAGCTTTTGGTAATGCCAAGACCATCCGCAACAACAATTCCTCTCGATTTGTGAGTAAATCTCTCCCTAGCCTGGGAGGAGGGGGTGTGGGGCCTGAAGAGGGCACCCCCCACCCCCTGCCATGCCTCCTGAGAAGAGGAGGAAGAAAAGTGTCTCTCTCTGGTCTCTGAAGGGAAAGTATATGGATATCGAATTTGACTTCAAGGGATCTCCCCTCGGTGGTGTCATCACAAACTGTATGTGTCTCCTCGTTCTGCATGCCACCCCTCTGCTCTACCCACCCCATATTGAGTATCTTTGTGTCAATCTGCTGTTGTGGGAAGAAGGAATATTTGCTTTCCAGACTTCCCACCCTTGAGGGATACCTGGGAGGAAGGGGGTTAGAGGTTAGAGTGACGTGGCAGTATCCCCCAAGTCCTCCAGACATTCTTTTCTTTTTCTTGGGGGGATGGAATTCCTGGGAGATTACACCCCAGGCCTCATGCAAGCAAAACAAGCTCTCTATCACTAAGGTATGTTTCTAGCCCTGTTGGGATGAAATTTTTTAATCTGCTAGATCTGCTTGAGAAATCCCGAGTGGTGAAGCAGCTCAAAGGAGAAAGGAACTTCCACATCTTCTATCAGATACTGGCTGGAGCTGACGCACAACTGCTAAGTACGTGCTTGTCAAGACACATGGTAGAACCTCCATTCAATCCCTCACACCCTAGGTTCCCTCTTGACTCCTGAGTTTCTCTTTGCCCAAATTAATTTTGTTTTCCTCTTCATTCCTGTTATGTTATGCCCTGCTTATGCTCCTCTTTTTTCAAGCTGCCTTAAAAATGGAATCCTCGTTTACATATACTCCCTAATTTTTAATTGAAGAAACTTTATCAGTAGTTCAGCAGGAGATTGGGTAGGAAGTTACAAGTTTTCAAGAACTTTCAGAGCTCTACTTGAAGTTGCCCTGGGTCTGCATTTGCCTAAATTTCAATTATTCTTCATAGTTTTTTCCCCTTTTAATTTTTTTTAGCCCCTTGCCCCCAGTGCTCAGGAGGCGTTGGGGCCTCTCCCAGTGATTCTTGGCCAACTGAGGCAGCTTTCTGATGTGAGGACTTGAAGATGCAGTTCTGTTCAAGCCCTGTGGTGTTGGGGATCACCTGGCCACCCTAGTGGTGCTCAGGAACCTCCAGAAATGTATCTAGTGATGTTTGGGGGACAATGCAGTGCCAGGGATAAAAATGGGGTTGGCCACATTGAAGGCATGTAGCTTAACTTCTATACCATCTCTAAGACCCCCTTCTTACGTAGTTTAATGGCAGCTCCATTCATAGGTTGAATGCCTACTATCACTTAGCACATGTTAGCCTTAGGGATACAACAACGATTAAGACAGTCTTGTTCTCAAAGAACTTCACCTTCTAGGATTCCTGGGATTACAGATACGTAAATAAATACCTTACAACATTAGCAACATGAGTGTCAACTGTTCTGTGAAGGGCAGGCACGTGACTCAGAGGTAGAGCATTTGCCTTGCATGTGTGAGGCCCTGGTTTGAATCCTGAGGACCAGAAGAAAAAGAAAAAAAAAAATAAGCCCGTGCTGGTGATTGTTAGGATTGAGGTGTGTAGCTCATGGACTCAGACTAGGAATAGTCCCATGAAGTGCTGGACTGGCCCTGGTAGCTCTGGTAGCGTTGCAGGGGCTTGTGGGACTTCAGGTCCTGCCAGAGTTGGCCTCTCAACTCCCTACTCTAGCTATGGACACTGTGGGGTCTAGCCCTCAAGTAACTGTCCCTTGGCTTTCGGTTACTTGATATGGGGGGGGAGGGGTTGTGAAAAAGAAAAAAATAAAAGCAAACAAAAAACTCCTTTGAGAAAACAAAAGCACCAACCTAGGGCAAGGCCTTAGAAGGCTGTGAATCCAGGTTACTCACACCTCAACAATCTTCCCCTCACACTGGCCCTCACAGAGGCCCTGAAGCTGGAGCAGGACATACGTGGCTACACCTATCTGAACCAGGAAGTGTCAACAGTGGCTGGCATGGATGATGCCTCCAACTTTAAGGCTGTGAAGGTGGGTACCAGCGGGCACATGGGCTTGAGTCTTCAGGCCACACACACCCCCGACCCAGCACAGGTTTTGGCTTGGAGAAAAGGGGGGTTGAACTGGCCCCTGCAGTTCAGTGTTTGATTTCTGCTCTCTCTTAAGGATGCGATGGCCGTGATTGGGTTCACAGAGGAGGAAATCCGCTGGGTGCTGGAGGTGACAGCTGTGGTGTTGAAACTGGGGAATGTGGAACTGGTGGGGGAGTTCCAAGCCAATGGAATCTCAGCAAGTGGCATCTCTAATGGCAAAGGTCTGTATCACCCTGCTGAACACCCCCCTCCCCCAAATCTGGCACCTGGAGTCTCCCGCAACCTCTGTTCTTTCACCCTTTCCACCCTCTCCAGAATCTGTTTGCTCTTGAGTTCCTAAAACACATTCCCTGGGAATTCCCAGTCTTGGAATGAAGTTTTCAATTTTGAGAGGTCTAGATTCCGGAACTTCTTGGCATCTCAGTGAATTCCTTACAACATGAAACAATCACGCCTGTTTCCTAAGATTCTTCCGTAAAGTAGATAATGCATCTAAAAATCCCAGATCTCCCTTTTCTCTCACTCCCTTGCAGAATTTCCTTCTGTGCCAGGACCAGTATCAGGCTGTGGAGGAGATGCAAGGGAGAGAGAGGTGGTGGGGGAGGAGAGGAGAGAGGGGAGAGGGAGAGAGAGGGGGAGAGAGAGGAGAGAGGGGGAGAGAGAGGAGAGAGGGGAGAGAGGAGAGAGGGGAGAGAGGAGAGAGGGGGAGAGAGAGAGAGAGAGATCTTGCTTATAAGTCACGTTCTATTTCCCCATTACCAGGTATTCAGGAGATTGGAGAACTAGTAGGTTTGAACTCAGATGTGATTGAGAAAGCTTTGTGCTCAAGGACCATGAAAGCAGCTAAAGAACAGGTGGTCTCTACTCTGAATGTCATCCAGGTAAGGGATCCCAGGAAAGGGTCTGCCTTGGAGTATGTTTGTTGGTCTCAGCACTGACCAGCTTGACCTGGTCCTGCAGGCTCAGTATGCTCGGGATGCTCTGGCAAAGAACATCTACAGTCGCCTTTTCAACTGGATAGTGAATCGAATCAATGAAAGCATCAAGGTGAGAAACTGCCTTCTTCTCTCCATATCATCTGCCTCCCTTACCTTTCTTGCTCTGGTCCCTCGCCCCATTCTTTGGGTTCTGAGATAAGCTCAGGAGGATGAAGCATCAGGTACAGTTCTTTGCAATAGTGTGGAGTTTTTGTTGTTTGCTTTCTTTCTGGCCTCACCTGGTTGTGCTCAGGACTTACTCCTATCTCTGTGCTTAGGGATAATTCCTAGTGGTGCTCAGGGGACCATATGGGATGACAGGGATTAAAATCGAGTGGGCTGTTTGTAAGGCAAGCACCCTATTATCTCTCTCCCCCCAACAATGTTTTGGTGGAAATGTTACTGTTTTTGAATTCAACTATTTGGATACAAATAAAGTGACTATGTGGCCTTTCAATTTCACAAATTGTATATTTTTGGACCACACACAGAGATGCTCTGGGGTTACTCCTGGCCCTCTACTTAGGAATTCCTCCTGGGGTGCTTGGAGGGCCATATGGGATGGCTGGTATTGAACCCAGGTCAGTCATATGCAAGGCAAGCACTTTACTTTCTGCACTATTGCTCCAGTTTCGACAAATATTTTTTAAAACATTGTTTTTATCCCTTTTCTTCTTTTTATTGTTGTTGCAGTGGGGTTGGGGATGTTGCTCAGTGGTAGCACCAACACACACACACACACAAACACACACACACACACTTTAGTTTATTGTTTTTAATGCTGCTGAGATACCTGAGGGTTGCCCACTTGATTGTGTTGTGCCAGAGATGGGACACGGGGGCTGGACATGACCAGAACAATGCTGTGGAATTCACACTTGGTGACTTGGGCCAAGTCAGAGAATTGAACCTGTGGTTTCACACCTGCAAGGCAGACATGCTCTACCACTGAAGCATGTCCCTGGATCCCACTTAAACAGATCAGCATCTTAGGTTCCCATTTCAAAATTGGAACATAAATCCTCCCTTATTCACAGAGTTTAGTGATGCTCAGGTGGAATTAAGTACACAGTTACCATTTAATTGAAGAATTCACTCTTAGGTATATATCCAGAATATCAAAACCAATACAAGAGTGCTAGGAGATAAGTGCAGTCAGGCAAGGTACACAACCTAGATTCAAGACTTCACAGGGCCTCCCAAGGAGTCTAACCCCAGTGGCCCTGGGCACTGCAGCACCTGAGTAGTACCACATCCTCAGGCCAAGCATTGAACCACCAGCTGGGCCAGCAGGGACCTGTACTCACTAAGTACTGCTTGGAAGGTCCAAAAATGTGGGGCTGGAGCGATAGTACATTCGCCTTGCACATGGCTGACCTGGGTTTGATCTCTGGCACCCCATATCATCCCCTGAGCACTGATAGGAGTGATTCCTGACTGCAGAGTAACCTTTGAGCATTACCTGGGCTGGCACAACAACAACAACAACAACAACAACAACAACAACAACAACCCAACAAACAACGAATGTTTAAAGAGGCTGTTACTACTCATAATGCCCCAAAGTGGAAGCAGTCTGAATGTCCATCACTCATGAATGTGTAAACAGAATGCAATAGGTTATTATTTGGCCATAAAGAGAAATGAAGGGCCAGAGCAATAGTACAGCAGGTAGGGCATTTGCCTTGCACAATGACTGACCCGGGTTCAATCTCTGGCATCCCATATGGTTCCTCAAGCACCGCCACAAGTAATTTCTGAGTCCGAGCCGGGAGTAACCCCTGAACATTGCTGGGTGTGACCCAGGAAGCAAAAAAAAATAATAATAATACTCAACATGGATGAACTTTGAAAATATTGAGTAAAAGAAGCCAGGTATTGAAGGGATATGTTAATCCTTCATTATGGAGATGCTTGGAATCATTAATCACAAATTGATTGACTCCATGCATTTGAAATTTCCAGACCAGGCTATAGAGTTACAAAGTTGGCCTGGGATTGGAGGGGGTTGGAGGGAAAAGAAACTCTTAATAATGATGGATGCAGGAACTGGCTTCTTTTTGAAATGACAAAAATGCTTTGGCATTAGGTCATAGTGATGGTTGTACACCTTTTGGATATACTAAAAGAACCACTGAGCACCTTTAAAGAGATATTTTATGGCATGTGAATTAGATCAAGATAGAGCTATCATTCTAAAATCACGTACGTGAAAATGCCACCAATTTGGAAGCCATTTTACTGGAAGGCAGCAGGGTGAAATTGGATTTGAATCTAGGGGTGGGTAAAATTTGATTTTTCTAAAATCTGAAAATGGAAATAATCACACCTTATAGGATTAGAGTAAGAATTAATGTAATAAGGACATAAAATTTTATATAAGCTGCTCTACTAGTATAAGGATGATTATTTGTTGAGAGGCTTTTCACGTCTCTTCCTCATAGCACAGACTCACTGGAATCCTAGAATTGATTTCTATTCCCCACCCGCTTCCTCCTCTTTTGCTTGTTCTCCAGCATAAGGAAGGAGAATAAAAATCACAGTTAGTTCCTTTCCAGCCTGGTCAAGTTCACCCTAGTACTATTTGTCCTCTGCTCATACTATATCTTTCCCAGAAGGGTCTGAGCTAGTGTGTATGGCAGGCGTACCCTGGATCCATCTATTCCTTCTCTTTAGGTGAAGACTGAGGAAAAGAAGAAGGTAATGGGGGTCCTGGATATCTACGGCTTTGAAATCTTGGAGGTGAGAGCTTCTCCCAACCGCATTCTTTTCCTTCCCTAGGGTTAGGGGTGAAGTGACTCAAATGGGGGTATAAGAAAGGGGAGATAGGGATGAGAGGGGCTTTGGGAGTGAATGGTTTCTCTCTTTGATCTGTGTACCCTCCCTCAGACTAATAGCTTCGAGCAATTTGTGATCAACTATTGCAACGAGAAACTCCAGCAGGTGTTCATAGAGATGACCCTGAAAGAGGAGCAGGAGGAGTATAAGAGAGAGGTAAAGCAAGCCCTCACCCTTCACCTGTGCTTGAACGGGTTCTAGGCACATGCTCCTTCTTCCTCCTGGGTCACAGTTTGCTCCCAGTAGCCCCCTGGGATGGGAACACAAAGGACAGAAGTTTCCCTGGCACAGATGAATGTCCCAGCATTAGCAAGAAGCCCTTGTTTTTTTCCCTGGTCTCCATCCTTTAGTTCTTCATCTTCCCATTGCAGACCAGGCAAAGAAGGAGACAGATTGATGGAAGGGTGTGTGTGCGGGGGAGAATCTTGACAAGCGTGAAATGACAACTGTGTTTGGCCTATGGCAGACTGTGGGCCAAACTTAGAAGGGACATTTCTCCTGGGCTTGGCACCTGACCACATCCCTCCCTGTGCTGTCTTCTCATGTCTCAGAGCTCTTTGTATCTTCCAGGCCCTGATCTCACCACCCCCTCCTGAGCCCCCTAGACTTTCTCTCCAGAAGTGCCCTTTGGCTCAATATTTCCACACTTCTTCCTCAGTTGGTGAAAAGCCCCATGTTCTGTGACTGGGTGTTAGGAAAACTAAGTGCATGAGCCGCACTCCCCAGAAGTATGATTGGGGGCATCTCACTCACGGACACTTTCCCAGGGATGAAAACTTCCTGTGAGCTCTCAAGAATTTGTTGTGGCAGCACCTCAGGCTTTTGGGTCACAGTGTGAAGAAAAGTTGTTTTTTTTTAATTAACGTTGTTTTGCATGATTTGTTTTAAAAATTATTTAACAGACCATACATTTACATTTCTAGGCCTCAGTGTTCTAGAAAAGTGTGTAGAGAAAGGTTTGCTTTGCTCCCACCCTTCAAAATAATTAAAAATTTTATGAAAGAGGAGGAATCCTGCATAGCAGCATCCCCTGGGAACATGTTAGAAAGGCAAATTATCGGGCCCTGTGCCAGGCCCTATTCAGAAACTCTGGCACTGAGACCCAGCAACCTGCAGTCTGTTAGAACAAGTCCTCCAGGCCCTGGGATCACCATCAGGCCCGAAAGTCACTAGCATCTTTCCTTGAAGGTGTATCACATTAGCTTTGTTGTTTTGTGACCAGCTCACCTGTGCACTGGTTCTATATTTTGCAGCCAGAACAGTGTCACCATTTATCACCAGTCTCTTCTCCTACTCCACTCCCATGATGGGGTTGTCCCTCTATCAATCATTCCCCAACATGGTCCCTTTCCCCTCCCCCCTACAGCAACATCTGAGCTCTGAGGCCTCCCAGGTGTCTGTCCTGTCACCTCCCAAATTTTCCACAACATTTGGGTAGGGGGATGGAAACAGAAACAAAAACCCAACCAGGGATCTTTTTTTCTTTTCTTTTTTGCTTTTGAACCACACCCTGTGATGCTCAGGGGTTGCTCCTGGCTCTGCACTCAGGAGTCACTCCTGTCAGGGCTTGGGAATGATAATGGGATGCTGGGATTGAACCAGGTTAACCGTCTGCAAGGCAAATGCCCTACTGGTTGTGCTATCTCTGGCTCCTGAGTGCAGAAATTTCTTTCTTTTCTTTCTTTTTATTTTATTTTTTTTTTTGCTTTTGGATCACACCTGGGATTGCAAAGGGGTTACTCCTGGGTCTGCACTCAGGAATTACCCCTGGTGGTGCTCTGGGAACCATATGGGATGCTGGGAATCAAACCAGACTGCAAGGCAGACGCTCTACCCGCTGTGCTATCGCTCCAGCCCCCCTAAGTGCAGGAATTTCTGACAGGCCTTTCCGGGGGTTAGTAAGAAAGGACTCTGATCTGGGGAAATCTTTGGAAACTTGACTTCGACCTGCTCTCTCATAATTTTTTATGTCTCTCCTTGCCAGGGCATACCATGGACAAAGGTGGACTACTTTGATAATGGCATTATCTGTAATCTCATTGAGCATGTGAGTTTCCTTCTCATATTCCTGGGACTTTCCCTTCCACACTCTCCAGCTGCACAGAGCCAAGTACCCTCCACTCCATTCCCTCCCCTGCCCCCCACTAATCTGAACCCAAACCCTTTGGACAGTGAAGGAGGCAAAGGGGCAGAGGGGAGGCAGAATGGGGGAGCCCATCTGGGAGGACAGGGCTGGGCTGAGCTGATTATTTCCTCCCCTTCCAGCATCAGCAAGGCATCCTGGCCATGCTGGATGAGGAGTGCCTGCGGCCTGGAGTGGTCAGCGACTCCACCTTTCTGGCCAAGCTGAACCATCTCTTCGCCAAGCATAGTCACTATGAGAGCAAAGTCACGCAGAATGAGAAGCGCGTGTACGACCACTCCTTGGGCCTCAACTCTTTCCGCATCAGCCACTACGCAGGCAAGGTGAGCGCGTGGGTGAGCGGGTGCTCATGTGAAGACTCGGGTGAAGCCTGGGAGCCAGCTGGAGCTTTAGAGTCAGAACTGGGGGGGACAACGAGAGGCAGAAATACTTCCCAAGGAGACAGAGACCCCAACGGTCAAGGGCAGGACAGGGATCTGGGCTCTCAAAACCAACAACTGCTCCTCTCCAGGTGACATACGACGTGAGCAGCTTCATTGACAAAAATAATGACCTACTCTTCCGGGACCTGTCCCAGGCCATGTGGAAGGCCCGACACCCCCTCCTTCGGTCCTTGTTCCCTGAGGGTGACCCCAAACAGGCATCTCTCAAACGCCCTCTCACTGCGGGGACCCAGTTCAAGAATTCTGTGGCCGTACTCATGAAGAACCTGTATTCCAAGAACCCCAACTACATCAGGTGACGTGCAAAGCACATAGCGAAGTGCCCCCTAGCTGATAGCTGGTTCCGTGTCCATACCCCATTGAACAGGTCCATGAGGGGACAGTGTCTCGGGAACAGGGTCTGTGTGACGAGGTGTGGGGGCGGGATCCTGAATAGCAGCATCCCCTGGGAACATGTAGAAAGGCCTTTCCTCATGGAACACAGAGGCAGATACAGCCTGGGAGTTGGTGTGGGGAGGGCATCAGGCGTCAGTAGCGACCATGCTATGGTGGAGGGGCCTGGGAAGGCCAGTGCGTCTCCTTCTTCAGAGACATCTCAGAAAGGGGGAGGTGTGTGAATGGGGTGCAGAGGGCCAGGTGAGCACGCTGCAGATGGGAGGCCCCTCACCTCTGTGCCTGTCTCCTGCTAGATGCCTCAAGCCCAATGAGCAGCAGCAGCACCGCCTGTTCTCCTCAGAGCTGGTGGCCGTGCAGGCGCGCTACCTGGGGCTGCTGGAGAATGTGCGGGTGCGGCGGGCCGGCTATGCCTTCCGCCAGGCCTACGCGCCCTTCCTGGAAAGGTATCGCCTGCTGGGCAGGAGCACATGGCCTCACTGGAATGGAGGAGACCGGTAAGACTCAGTGGGGTGACTGGGGAGCAGGGCAGGGTGGTGATGAGTAGCAGGGGAGGAGGAAGCACCATGCCCCTCTGTGCTAGTGCACTTGGGAGCAAGACTCGAATCATTCCTGTTTAGAGGCTCTGGAGCCAGAGTATAGCGGGCAGGGTGCTTGCCTTGCATGTGGCCAACCCGGGTTTGATCCTAGACCAGGAGTGATAGCCCTAAGTGTAGAGCCAGGAGTCAGCCCCGAGAACAGCCAGTATGGCCCCCAAACCAAAAATATTAACAACAAAAGCAAAATCCAAAAAACCAGAGGCTCTGCAGTGTGTTGGTGGGGGGGAGGGGATTGGGGCAAGGCCGAGGGGTCCCCTCCCACAGGATGGCCATCCATAGGCAGCTTCCTTCTGCTCCCATAGGGAGGGAGTTGAGAAGATCCTGGAGGAGCTGAACATATCCTCAGATGACAGGGCCTTTGGGAACACAAAGATCTTCATTAGAAGCCCCAAAACTGTGAGTTGGAGGGTGTCCTTGTGTTGTGTGGGTGAGGGGAGTGGAAGAGTTGCGGGGGGTTGGAGGGGATAGGAACAGTGACTGCCTGGAATGGCTGGCAGATAAGGAAGTCCATCTGCAGGGATTTCATCTCTGGCAGTTGAGTTCTTGGGTACCACCCTGATTTGAACCTTAGGATCTAGGGGTGCTAGTACCCCCACTGAGGGGGATAAGTAGGGCTGATCCCATTGCTGGGATTCTGAAGGCTCGCTTGGGGCTGACAGCAGCTGCTTGGAGCTGGCTGGGGAGGAAATAAACCAAATGCACTGAGGACTGGGCAGAAGGGCAGAGGAATGAACAGCACCCTAGCTGGGAAGTTCTGGTGCAGAGGGCGGTGGGAGGAGAGAGCACTGCTTCCCCAGTGCCATCTCAGGTGCCCATCTCGCACCCTTCTCCCGCCTCGGTACAGCTTTTCTACCTGGAGGAGAAGAGGCGCCTCAGACTCCAGCAGCTGGCCACACTCATCCAGAAGACCTACCGAGGCTGGCGCTGCCGCACCCACTACCAGCTTATGCGCAAGAGTCAAATCCTCATTTCCTCCTGGTTTCGTGGCAACATGGTACCAGATCCCTCCAGAGCCCCAGCCCCCTCAGCCTGACAGGGTGGGCTGGGGGCGGGGGGGAGAGGAGATGGTTCAGGATGAGGGACTTTTCTAACTGGCTCATGGTTTCCACAGCAAAAGAAACGCTACGGGAAGATGAGGGCATCGGCATTGTTGATCCAGGCCTTTGTGAGAGGGTGGAAGGTAATGGGAACGGGAGATGATGTTTCTCGGCACTGATGACCCTTCTCATCACCGGCTTTTTCCCACATTGTGCTCATTTTTGGGTGGTGGGGCAGGGAAGAATGGCAGGGAGCAGGTCTGTCTCTGATCTAAGCCAGACCTCCATGTGAGGGTTCGTTTGTGTCTGGGATGTGGCTGCAAGGGGAGATCCTTTACAAAGGGAGGGCGAGCTTTGGGGGCCTCATTGAAAGGCAACGCTCACACTACCTTCTGCTTTGAGCATTTTATCTGCTGTTCCTTCCTCCCTCCACTAGGGCCTCAGCTCGGCCTCTTCCTCTCTTCTTCCTGAGGTTCAAAGTAGTAGCACCTCTTTTGTCTTCTAGGTCTCACTGTCTACCTTTAACTCCCTTTTTTTCCCCCCTGCCAAGGCTCGCAAGAATTATCGAAAATACTTCCGGTCAGGGGCAGCCCTCACCTTGGCAAATTTCATCTACAGTAGCTTGGTAAGTAAATGTGTGTGTTGAGGGCGGAAGTGAGGAGGTGGTGGAGGGAGGGGCTTGTTGAAAGAGGGAGATGTGGGGTTTGGGAAGCTTTCTCTCTCTCTGCATGTACTTAATTCGACCCCAAAAGAGAAGGTGGCAGAGCCCAGGAGAACATTTGGGCTTAAGTGGATACTACCAGCAATGTCACGACAGCAGGGGCACCCCAACACACCCAACAATTAGTCCATGCTGAGTAGGACTGAGAGGAGAGGGACCTGGCTGGGTAACACTGGAGCAGCTAAATCAGCCGTGATTATATTATATTATAATTATAATTTATTATTATTATATTTTATAATATAAAATGTGATATTTATTTCCCACTGTTTCCTCTGAACTTCCATCAGAGGTAGAAATGAAACCTCAGGAAGGGCTTATTTTTTCAGAGAATTATCATATATATTTTGTTTCCTGGTGTTGGCCCACCCAGTGCTGCTCAGGGGCTGTTCCTGGCTCTATGCTGCCAGCGATTCAACTGAGGTCTTCCTTTGAACCTTCTCCCCTTCTCTACCTTAGTTCTAAGGATATTGGACAGCAAGAAGCCATAACCAGACTTGGGTGCAAAAATGATGGGTAAAGAGGAAAAGAGAGACAGAGAAGGATGATTTCCAGAGACACCCATCTCTGATATCTGTGTGTGGGTGGGGGTGGGTGGGAGACTGACTGGGAAGGAACAGCATTGCCAGAGAAGACTGGAAGGGCTCTAGAAGAGAGTGAAGGGAGTGATCTTGGACAGATGCTGGGTTGTTCTGTTTTACCTGTGCTGATTAGGGTTTTGGCAATTACTTATAAGGACTCTTATTAACTGTGCTCATTCAGACAGGATTCACATACACTTACTTGCAGCTCCTCTTTGTCATGGAAAAGGCGACATTCCTTCTCCACCCCCAGGATAAGGGATGGGCACTTTGTGCTGTGTCATTCCTATCACCAGGTCTTTCCATTGGCTTCCTGAGCCTCCCGTGGGACCTCTTCCTTCCCTTTGACAGCGGGTGTCCACCTTCCCAGAACCCTTCTTTACCTGCTCTCTGCTCTCCAGGCTATCTATCTTCCTGGATTATGTGCTCTCTTGCTGCATGCCTCAGACATACAATCTGATTTTGCTCTGCCTCTTGACCAGCTCTGTTTTCACCTTTGGGGTCACCTGTATGTTATCAAGTATCTGTTGTATGTCAAGTCAGGAGCTGTTAGGTCAAGTCATGTATTGCAGTCAATCACATGCCCAACAGGATCGTGTACACAGGAGTCCCTGAACATGGACTTTCCCAGTGTTTTGTTGTTGTTTAAAAAAAAAATTTGGTGCCAGGGATTCAACCCAGAGTCTCATATATGCGAGACATGTGCTCTACCACCAGGCCATGCCCCCCCCCCCGAGCCCCTTTGATTTTTCATTTTAATTAATTTTATTTAGTGATTTTTTTTTTAAGCAATATATTTTTGTTTAAGAAACATGGGGCTGGAGTGATAGCACAGCGGGTAGGGCGTTCGCCTTACAAGCGGCCAACATGGCCGACCCGAGTTCGATTCCTCCGCCCCTCTCGGAGAGCCTGGCAAGCTACCGAGAGTATTGGATATGCCAGACACAGTAACAACAAAGTCTCCAATGGAGACGTTACTGGGCCCGCTCGAGCAAATCGACGATCAACGGGAGGGCCTTTACCTTTACCTTTACCTTTAAGAAACATGGAGGGGTGAGTGAGATGGTACAGCAGGTAGAATGTTTGTCCTGCATGCGACTGACCCGGGTTCAATCCCTGGCATCTCATATGGTCCCCACCACCACCTCCAGCCCACCAGGAGTGATCCTTGAGTGCAGAGCCAGGACTAAGCCCTGAGCATTGCCAGGTGTGGCCCCCAAAACAAAACAAAACATAAAAAATAATCATGGAAGGAGAGAGAGAGGAGAAGTCTATAAAAGAAAGGACAATGCACTCCAAGTTGTGATGTGGGCAACCTCAGAATGAATGTACTCCCTTTATTTTTGGAAATTTCGCATCTTAAAGGCCTGAGAGATAGTTCGAGTATAAGGTGCATGCCTTGCATGTGACTGACCCTGGTTCAATCCCTGGCACCACATATGGTACCCTGAGTACCACCAGAGTGTTCCCTGAGCGCCTTCCCCTGCACCCCCCCCAAAAAACCCAAACCTTAGCATCCTAATAGAAAATTTTAAATAATCATTTCAAAAATTTGGGGCCAGAGCGATAGTACAGTGGGTGGGGTGTTTGTCTTCCTTGTGGCCAATTTGGATTTGATCTTTAGCATCCCAAATGGTGCCCCAGATACCTCCATGAATAATTCCTGAGTGCAGAGTAAGGAGAAATCCCTGAGTACTTCCGCTTGTGGCCCCAACCCCCCACCAAAAAAAAATTAGAAGTGCTGAAGATCAAGTCATTTTCTATAGCTTCTTTAGTTCAGTTCCATAAACAAGCAGGGTGCAAGGTGTTCACTTGGATATAAAAATTTCAGAGAATTGGTTTTCATTTGGAGGAGATTAAGCTGTTAGATGCCCTGGTGAAACTTGATTGGATCCTGGAACAGGAAAAATAAAAACAAAGTTAAAAAGAGTTGGTAAATTTTAAAGGTAATGCGGGGGAATTTGAATTTGCATTGCTGTTGGAGGAGTTTATTGAATTAGCGTTTATTTTCTTACATGTGGTGGACCCAATTTTTTGGAGATGCAGGCTTTGATTTTAGGGGGAAATGTCATAATTTCTGTAACCTACTTTAGGATAACATAGTAACAAAGATCTTAAATACTTGTGTGCATTTATATGTTTATATATGCCCGTGTTTCTATGTTAGGGAGAGAGAAAGAGAGAAAGCAAGATGTTAATATTAATAGTTGGTGAGTATAGGTGAGGGGTATATAGTAGAGAGATGTGTCTGTAATGTTTCATAAACTTTTATGCAAGTTTAAGAACTTTCAAACCTAGAAAATAAATTATATTAAAAATGTAAAAGTTAGGAGCCAGTGTGGTGGTACAGGGTGCTTGCCTTGCATACAGGTGAGCTGGGGTTCCATCCCCAGAACCCCATATGGTCTCCCAAGTTGTGAGTGATCCCAGAGTGCAGTGAGGAGTAAGTACCTGAGCACCACTGGGCATGGCCTCCAAACAGAAACAAAAAGAAAAATGAGGCAACTGGAGACCAAAGGAAGCAGGGACAATTTGGGTGGAATCTCAAAGGATGTGTGGACTCTGGGTGGGCAGGGTTGAGCCGAAAGCAGTGGAAACAAGGCCCAGAGTGATAATGTCGGGGCGAGGCTGAGATGTGACGTGGAATCCTTTCTTGTTGGTTTTCACAGAATTATGTGACAAGGGCTCTGAGTAGAGGACTTTGAGTGGCAGATCGAGGTGCTGTGCTTGGCTGATCAGACAGGAGGGAGACTGGGTACCTGTCCAACAGCCCACACAGACAGTAGCAACCTGCAAACTGCAAGAAAAAGTAGCCACAGGCGTAAATGCTGAGACCCGTGTTCATGTTGGTTCCTTCCACGTCCCCCCCGAGCGGCAGGAATGATTTCTGTCTTTTCAACCTCCTGTTCCTGTTCTCACTGCCCAGCTTCCACTTGACACTTGACACTGACAGAGCTCCTGGAGGTGCATCCCTTCCAGTCTCAGCTAACCTTGTTTCTCGTTTGGGCGTGGGGTGGGAGGCTGCAGTGCTGCCTCCTTTCAAGTGGCTGGCTATGGATGCAAGTTCCTTCTCATTAGTCCACTTCTCCCCACTTTCTCCTGCTCCCATCTCAGGCACAGAAGTTCTTACTGGGGTTGAGGGATAGTTTGCCGCCCCCCAAAGTCTTAGACAAAACATGGCCAGCTGCTCCATACAAGGGCTTCCGTGTGGTGAATGAGGAACTCCAGAAACTTTACCACCAATGGAAGGTGAGTGAACCTGAGTCTCTTCCTCCCTTCTCCTCTCTCTTCTCTTTGCCTTTTTCCCAGCCCCGCTGATCTTCTTCAGCGCCTCCCTCTTATCTTCTTTTTATTTCATACCCACTGGTGTGCAGTGGCTACTTCTGAGTTGGGGTGTAGAGAGTGGGAGATAGTTAGTTCCTGGCAGTGCTCTGGGGGCCGTGCAGTCCTGGGCATTAAACCTGGGCCTCCTGCAAACAAAACATGCACTCAGCCATTGAGCTGTCTCTTCTATTCCTATATTTGTTTTTCTGCCTCTCTCCCCCCCACCCCCGTGTCTCTCTTTCTTCCATTTCTTTTATTGTGGTAGAATATGCAGAACAAAATTTACAATATTAATTTGTGGGTATTTTTTTTGATTGTTTGTTTTGGAGGGGGAACATCCTCAAGTGCTCAGGGGTTGCTCCTGGCTCTATGCTCAGGAATCAGTCCTGGCAGGCTTAGGGAACCATACGGTGTGGTGAGGATCAAACTCAGCTGGTCAGCATGCAAGGCCCAAACTTATTTATTTATTTAGTTTTGGTTTTGGGGACACATCTGGTGATACACAGGGGTTCTCCCTGGCTCTGCACTCAGGAATTACACCTGGTGGTGCTTAGGGGACCCTATGGGATGCCAGAAATCAAACCCAGGAGGGATGCATGCATGGCAAGCGCCCTACCTACTGTACGATAGCTGTAACCCTGTTTTTCTTAAAGATTAAAGTTTATGTGGAGGCAGTAAAGATATTCCCATGGCCATGCCACCATCACGGCATCCTACATCATACTTTCTCATCATCCCAAACTGAAACTCTGACCAATTCAGCAGCGACTCCCCAGTCTCTGCTCTCCCAGCCACACTGGAAACTTTCTTCTCATTGAACTCAACTATTCTAAGGCCCCTCACCTGAGTGAAATCAGCAGGAAGTACTTCCTGAGTATCTGTTTGGGACAGCGGTCTGTTTCCAGACCCTTCCTGGCACCCCCAATTCCATCCCCTCCTTACTATTCCTCCAGTTCCTGCCCCCCTCCCTCCGCCTCTCAGCCTTCTCCCTGTCTCTCCGACCGCCCTCCTCGTGATCTTTTTTTTTTTTTTTTTTGCTTTTTGCTTTTTGGGTCACGCCCAGCAATGTTCAGGGATTACTCCTGGTGGTGCTTAGGGAACCATATGGGATGCTGGGAATCGAACCCGGGTCGGCCGTGTGCAAGGCAAACATCCTACCCGCTGTGCTTTTGCCCCAGCCCCTCCTCTTCATGATCTTGACTCCCTCCCTTGCCCTTACAGTGCAAGAAATTCCGGGACCGACTGTCCCCAAAGCAGGTAGAGAGCCTGAGGGAGAAGGTCTACGCCAGCGAACTGTTCAAGGGCAAAAAGGCATCGTATCCCTCGAGGTGAGTGCCTCCTGACAGGCAGGTTTCCAGCAGGAGCAAAGAGAAGATGCCCTGCAGGGGGCTGAGTGGGGCTTGGGAGACATGAACCTCTGGGTAGCTTCAGCAGCTCTGAGTTACTGGGGTCCAGGAGCAGTGGAAGCATTTGCCTTTCGAAAGGCTCCCCAGGACTGCTGGGGGTCCTGGGCGGAGCCGGGCACTGCTGGAGGAGGGCGTGTGGCCCTGAAGGTCAGTGGTGAAGACATCTCCTGTGTGTCCTCAGCGTCCCTGTCCCATTCCACGGCGACTACATTGGGTTGCAGGGGAACCCCAAGCTGCAGAAGCTGAAAGGTGGGGAGGAAGGACCGGTGCTGATGGCAGAGACTGTGAGCAAAATCAATCGTGGCAACGGCAAGGTACAGGCCTGCCTGGGAGCCCCTGGGCTGGTGCATAGCCTGGGGGTGGAGGGGTAATCCCCACCTTCCCTTACCTCTCTCTCTTCTCTCCCTAGACTTCCTCCCGAGTTCTCCTCCTCACCAAGGGCCATGTGATTCTCGCAGACCCCAAGAAATCTCAGACCAAAACTGTCATTGGACTGGACAGTGTGGCAGGGGTGTCAGTGACCAGCTTGAAGGATGGGCTTTTCAGCGTCCATCTGAGTGAGGTGGGGGGCCTCAGACTGGGATCGCGGGTGGGCAGCACTGAGGGGGCTGCGGCCAGAGTGCAGGGCTGGCCTGTCACAACACCGTGATGCTGCTCATGCTTCTCCTGAGGGAGTGAATGAATCCCTTCTCCCTCTTTCCCCCTGTTTCCTAAGATCTCTTCAGTGGGCTCCAAGGGGGACTTCCTGCTGGTCAGTGAGCATGTGGTGGAGCTGCTGACCAGGATGTCTCGGGCTGTGCGGGATGCTACGCAGAAGCAGTTGCCTATTACAGTGACTGAGAAGTAAGGCCCCCCGCTGGGGTGAGGGACTGCTGGGTGCAGGTGACCAAACTGTTGGTTATTGCGATCAGGGGAAATCAGTGTGGTGAGCCATTCGGAGTCTGAGCAGGGATGGGGAACGTTTATAGTCCTCCCCCTGCCAAGTTCTCTGGGGCCTCAGGCCTTCTGCTTGAGGGTGGTGGTAGGGGAGCAGGTGTCTGGGGCGCCCCTAAGAACCTCAGGGAGCCAGGGGAAACACTAACTTTGTTTCTTCTGTGGCTTGTCCCCCACTCTAGTTTCACAGTGAGGTTCAAGGAGGGTCGTGTGACTGTCAAGGTCATCCAGGGCTCTTCTGGGGGCGGAACCGGCAAGCTCAGTTGCAAGAAGAAGGGGAGCCAGTGTCTGGAAGTGACCGTCTCATGAGGGACTTCTTCCTCCTGGACCAGCACGAACCCCTGAAGAGTGCCTTTCCTTCCATGGCTGGCCAGCCCCCTCCGCCACGCTGGTTTTCCTCTCACCCTCCGCCGCCACCCGACACACCTCTCTGACCTTCAATAAACCAAGTGACTTCCGAAAATGAATTCTGCGTGAAGGGGCCCTGCGCGCAGTTCCTCCCCCACCCCTCTGGAGCCGGAGGAGGCGGATAATGAGGGAAAGGGAAAGGCAGGGAAATTGTCTCCAGCCTCCTTAAACAGCTGCGCTCTGGTCAGCCAGGGAGGGGCTGGGCTGGGCGACTGGGCAGTCGGGGCTGGGGCTCAGGTCTCAGGTGGCCAATGCGCTGATTCATTAAATGTGTCCCTGACCGAGAAGTCGGGATCCGGTTCTTCACAGAAACTGGGAGCCTCTGGAGATCTTGTCTCCACAGAGGCCCTGAGGTAAGCCGGAAAAATGAAATTTCCTTGTGCCCGGGCTTTGGGACAGGGAGTCACTTGGGCTTTTTTTAGTCACATCCGGGCACCCCCAATTCCATACACCACAGGGGTAGGCCAAGGCTGCGGCCAACTGCACTGTAGCACTGTCCTCCCGTTGTTCATCGATTTGCTAGAGCAGGCACCAGTAACATCTCCATTGGGAGACTTCTTGTTACTGTTTTTGGCATCTCGAATATGCCACAGGGAGCTTGGCAGGCTCTGCCAAGTGGGCGGGATATTATCGGTAGCTCTCCGAGAGGAGTGGAGGAATCGAACCCGGGTCAGCCACGTGCAAGACAAATGCCCTACCTGCTCTGCTATTGCTCCAGCCTAGCATACCACAGTGCCTTAAGAAAAAAAAACAAAACCCTAGGTCAGGAGAAAAAGCTCAGAGGCCAGGTGCTCAGGTTCTGCAAGTAATGGGAACTAGAATTTGATTCCTGGCACCATTATTTTTTCTGTGTTACTGAGCTAATCGCCCCACAGCTGAGGCCTGCAGCTGGTGTCACTTACAGGGACCCCTGCCCTGCCCGCCAGAGGCAAGCTCTGGCTGACCACTTTTTTTCCCCCCGTGTCACTGTCATTTTAAATTTTTGTTCCATTTCCCACAGTCTCACATCATGCGGTTGTCCTGGCTTCTGTGGAGCATGCTTAATATTGATAAGGGGCGTTTTGGATAGTGCTTTCCATCACCCTCAGTGACCTTCCTCAGAGACTCAGTCTCCACCTTTAGGGGCTCTTTATTTTCAGTCCGATTTAGGGCTGTGCTGCGGGAGCGCGCACAAAGGCCGCCTTTGTTTCTGAGTCTGGCTTTGCCTTCCCGGCTTTCAGGAGCTCTGATCTCCGTCTGCCGGGGCATGCATGCCTCTTCCCAATCTCTGCGAGCGCCGTGAGTCTGGGGTCCTCCTGCACCTCATCCGCAGGCAGCTCACAGCTCAAGCAGTCACGCCGGCAGGAGACCTGATGAACTCGTCTTCTTGCGTGCAGATTAATCTTGCTTTCTGCGCGCCAGCCCCTGCCTCTGGCGTACCGGCTGGGCTTGGAGTCGCGCGCCGCGCTCGGTCCCGGGAGGCAGCCCAGGAGGATGAGGGGCCCGAGCTGTCTCTGGGGCGCTGTGCTTGGATTTGGAGGCAGGTGTTTGCTCGCGCTCGGGCCAACCTCCCCCGCGCTGAATCCGTGATCCCTGCTGTCAGCCCAGGGGAGCCCGACTGGCTGTGCTGGGGAGCTGACCCGAGCCCGGCCGCCCCCGTGCTCATCTCCTGTTCCCGGGGCCTAAATTGCCGTCACTGTCCCCGGGAAGTGTCTGGTCATTTTCCGAAGCAATTTCAGAAAAATACGCAGCTGCTGCTCCAGGCTCCCGGCCCTGCTCTTTCTTTCCCAGGGCCCAAGGCACTGTTTCTGCTGGGTTCTGTGGCGTCGCTCCTGTCTTCCCGTGGCCCGCAGCTGTGCCATGGATGCTTGTTCCCGGAAGGGGAGCCTCCTCGCCTCCAATCCCTTCCTCTGTCTTTCAAGCCCCCAAGTGCATGTTTTTTCCCCCCTTTTGGAATGGGCACACCGGCAGTGCTCAGTTTGATGCTCACCCCAAAGCCCTTTGTTGGGGATTAAACCCAACAAAGCATGTGCTCCTGGGGTCAGGTGAGATGGTGCCTCCTTGCTCTTCAGCATCCCATATAGTTCCTTGGCCACGGTCAGAAGTGATTCCCTGAGGACAGAGGCAGGAGTAAGCCCTGAGCACCTCTGGGTGTAGCCGAAACACAAAAACCTACCAACCAACAAAAACAAACGTGTGCTCTAGTGCATTGCCCTTATGCTCCAAATCCTGAGTGTATGTTTTCATCCACTGATGCCTATAGGAGCCTTGGTTGCCTCACCTGTGTGATAAGACTTGAATGAGCTTCATGACGGTGGAAAAGCTGGAGTTATGCTCCCTGACGTTTCCCCCACCCCCAACCAACATACTATAAGTCTAGGTGGCTTCAGCCTCAGAGGAGTAGTCTTCCAGAATGACAAGAACCCCGATGGAGCCTTCCAAGCATCTCAAGAGCTCATTTCAGCCATGTCCTGGTGGAGGAACTTGACCTTCCTTTCTCCACCCATTGTCCCAGGTGACCCTCCCGCCCCAGCACACAGCCCCTTCCCTTCAGCCCAGGATGTGAGGGTGTCCACTTGTTGCGTTCTAGTTTGCATATGATGGACAGATCCAGGCCAGCTCTGTGCACCTTTATCCTCATCCCCCGACAGTCCCCAGCAACAGGGAGGGGTAGCTGCTGAGGCAGCCTCAGCTGGAGACTCAGCTCCCCGGCTGAGCTGTGGAAGCTAGGAGGAGCTGTCTCAGCAAAACCTCCTTTCCCTGCTGTTTGGCAGATTTGTGAACCAAATGAAACACACCTGTTCTACCCTCCACCGCCTCCCTCTTTCATCACCTCGAGCTTCACATCAACTCTTTCAAATCTGCTCTTCCCAGAGATCAAGGGGTGACCAGTTTCCCCTGCCATGGCTCTGCTTTCCCCCCAGTCTCAGCTCCTACCCAGCTCAGTGAGATGCTTTGCATCATCAAAGGACATTATTCATGGGGGACCTTTGCTGAAGCTTTTCAGCCTGAGGCCAGGGCTTGGGGGCAGGGAGGCATGGGGTTGGAGGATAGGCGCTGACAAAGAGATGTGAACCTGGAGGGTTCTGTCCTCAGCATTCAGTCCAGCACATTCCTGCTCCTGGATTTCCTCCTGGGGGCTTGCCTGGTCAGGATGGGGAAGAAGGGGCAGTGGAGATGGCTGGTCAGTGAGGAACTGAGTTACTGTGAAGCACTCATGCCATGGATAAGTAACCAGCCTCCCGTGACCTCCCCTTCTCCCTCCCAGAGCTCCCTAAACTTGGAGCGTGCTCCCCTGCAAAGCCCACACTGCCCTAATATCAGCGTAATTAGGTGGGTAATGGGAAACTTTTTCATGAAACCTCACACATAATAAAGGGCTTCATGTACTAAAGGGGCTTAAATGCTGCCCTCACTGGAGGGTGGTGAGAGGAGTCCTGTGAAGTTGAATGACTTGTGGGGGCACTGGGAGCCAGCTGGAAGCAGGATTTCAGGACCCTAAGCAGTACTTGGGAGGGTCTGTGAGGATCTAAGTGGGTGGGGTGCCATACAAGAAATTGAACTCAGTGGGCCTGGAGCACAGAGGGTAGGGCATTTGCTTCGCACACAGCTGACTAAGGTTCGATTTCCGGCATCCCATATGGTCCCCCGAGCACCACCAGGAGTAATTCCTGAGAGCAGAGCCAGGAGTAACCCCTGAGCATCACTGGGTGTGACCCAAAAAGCAAAAAAAAAAAAAAAAAGAAATTAGATTCAGGTTTCTTTTTGGGGGGAGTGGTCACCCATATCTGGCACCTTAACTCCTATACTGTATCTCTCCGGCCCATCAGCTTCCATTTTTGGTGCTATAGATAAATTTGATCTTATTTTATTTTTGTTGGTTTGGGGGCCCTTCCTGGCCGGGGGCTATTCCTGGCTCTATGCTCAGAAGTGCCATCTGACAGTGCTCAGCCAACCCCAGATGGTGGGGAATTTGAGGCAGGGTCATGTCTACCCCAGGTGCATGCAAGGCTAGTACCTTACTGCCTGCACTATCTCTCTGGTTTTTGTTTTGTTTAACTTTGCTTTTTTGAGGCTACACCTGGTGATGCTCAGGACTTATTCCTGGCTTTGTGCTCAAGTCCTGGCCCTTAACATGCTCTACTCTGGTGGTGAGTGTCAGGCAGAGTATATGTAAATTACTTAACATGCTGATTGTAATGCATATGTGAAAGGAAACACCTAGGAGAAGGTCTGGGGCTTGGAGTGGGCAGTACTTTCAGTCACATGGTGATGGGAGAAGGTGGTGGGGGTCTTTGTGCTAAATATACAACAGAGTCCAGTTCTCCTACAATCCTGGCATGGAGATGCCCAAGGTTCCAGATCTCCAGTTTCAGAGAGGAGGTGACTTCTACCCTTGGAAAAGTAACTGTTCTGTTACTGAGAAAAATTCACACACTGCAGTTGAAGGGAGAGGAAAGACCCGAGAAATGGCTTGCCTTGCAAGCGTCTAACCCAGGTTTCATCCTCAGAACATATGGTGTCTTGAGTCCTGACAGGAGAGAGAGCTCCCTAAGGAAGAACTAGAAGTAAACCCTCCACACTGCCAGGTGTGGCTCAGAAACAAGCAGGAAAAAAAACTGGAAATTTGGATGTAGAAGAATCTGAATTAGAGGCTGTTCTCTGGTAATTTTCCCCGAGCATGTGACTGAACTTTTGAAGCCTCAGCTGCTTTACTGAAAAAATAGGAATATTTTCTCCTCACTTCAGTGGTGCTGAAAATCAGATAGATTGCCTGAGGTGAAGCGCCTTGCCAGTGTTGAGGCCAGCCCTCCCTGGAAATGCTGAGAGACCCAACGACCTTTGTTCCCCTAGGTACCATGCACCGTGATCTGAGTGCCCCTGGGAACTTTCTCCCCGGAGTGTGGAGTAGAACAAACCATCTCAACCGTGTGGGGTGTGGATACGAAGTGCAGAAAACTGAGGGAGGAGAAGCCCATGCGGCAAGGAGAACAGATTGAGGCGAGCCTCTAGGAGGGAAAATAGAAGCAATTAAAAGATCAACACTGGGGCAGGGTGAGGCAGGGAGCACTCAGCTGGTATGTTCACCCTCCTTTCCCCGATTCTAGCAGTTAGAAGTCAAAGGTGCACTAAGTCAGGATGATCGTGTGGCAGAGTCATGGGGACTGGGAGAAGCAGCGATAGTGACTATGGGGAGGGAGGGAGGGAGGTGGAGGCTTTCTGCTTTCAGTGGTCAGGGGTTAAGGTAAGGGGAAAGTACCCCCGGCCTCTGCGATGGGTCAGTTCTAGCTGGAAGGAGGGCTAAAGGGGTCTGGAAGGGGTGCCAGGCTCACCTTCCTCTCCTTAGGGGCCTGGGTCTGGTGTCTCAGTGGTGGAAGAGCCCCTGGAGCCCCTGCTGGGAATTATTCTCATTCTGGCAGTCAAGGTTTAAAAGTGAAGGTTTAAAAGGACCTGGAGCTGGGAGTGACAAGGAAAAAGAGGCCTGGCATATCTTTAGCTAGAGTCACTGAGAAATTTTGTCAGGAATCAGACAACATTTGGTTAACATGTTTGGTTAGAGAAAGAAAATTTCAACTTACTGCTGGTACTTGTGAAGGGTGTGTGTGTGTGTGTGTGTGTGTGTGTGTGTGAGAGAGAGAGAGAGAGAGAGAGAGAGGAGTGTGTAACTTGCATGAGAATGTGTGGATATGGATGTGAGTGACTATGTGAGAGTGTTTGTAATATAGTGTGTGAGAGCTTGTGAGAACGCGACTGTTGTTTTTTGTGTGTGTGATTGTGAATGCATGTGTGAGTGTGACTGTGTGAGATAGTGAATGTGTGAGAGAGTATGACTGTGTGAGTGTGTGTGTGAGTATGAGTGCCTGTGTGATATGACTGTGTGAGAGAGATGAGTGCATGTGAGACTGTCACTGTGTGTGAGTTTGTGAATATGTGTGAGTGTGTATGTGAGAGAATATTGTGTGTGCATGTGAGAGAATGTGACTGTGTGTGTTTGTGTGTGTGAGTGTGTGACTGTGTGTATGTGTGTGTGTGTCTGTTGCTTATATTCTCTTCCGCCCCCCATCAGCCCTCCCCCTCCCCTCCTGCCACACTGGGATTGGTGACTCTCAGCCCCTCCTCTCAGTTCCCCCAGACCCTCCCAGATTCTTTATCAGAGCTGGGCCCTAGTTCTTGCCACATCCCCAGAAACCCTTCACGTTTGTCTCTCAGCACTGCGACTGTGGGGAGCAGGCTGTGTCCTGGCAGCTCCCTGATCCTGCTGGACCACCCGGCCCTGGGCACGAATCTGCTCTACAGGTAGGCTGAGCAGGAGAAGGGTGGATGGATGGGAGCTGGCACCAAAGACCAGCATCCAAGACAGGGGGGAAAAAAGGCAACAGGCTGGGACAGGGAGCAGGGCATTGGGAAGGAAAGCAGAGAGCTGGTCATGTTTGCAGCCTGTGGTGCTAAGTCTTCCAGTCTTTGGTTGGAGAAAGTTTTTTGCATAAGTCTTGGGGTACCCAGTGCTGAGCTTTAGCATCCAGGAACCCCCCTCAAGCCGGCTAAGGACAGACCTGTGTGCGTCCTGTCTCTTCTTCCTGCGGAGCCCTGAGCCGCTGCTTTGCAGCCTCATGGCGCATCCTGGAGAGGTCTGAAGGAGGAGAAGCTGTACTGAGCCAGGGAGGCCCCTGCGGCTCAGAGGTGCTCTCTCCTACCGCGGGGCTTGGGGGAGGGCTTGGGGGGGTTGGGGACACAAGGTCTGGCCTGGTGCTGGTGGCAAACGTCTTCTGGTGGTCCTGATTGTGCTCTCCCCCTGCCCTGATCGTGTCTTTCGGCCCTCGCAGGCATCATGAGGAGAGCCCTGCTGCTCGCAGCACTCCTGGCCCTCAGCCCAGCTCCCGGGGCTGTGTGCGAGGAGCCACGGGAGCAGGTGGTGACCAGCAGGGGCCACAGCAAGGTAAGCTCAGTCTTGGGGCTTGCCCTGTCATCAGCATCCTGGGAGCCAGAGGTCTGCCTGCCTTCAGCTCAAGGGGACGCTGGGGGTGGTGGGAGTTACCTGGGACCCCAGCAGGGGGTAGAAGTTCTTACACTGGTGCCTCCCGTTCTCCCAGTCGCTGGGCGTGTCTCTGTCTCTCCCTTTGCACATCGTTCCATTAGCTGATCATCCAGAGCTTTGGTGCCTGGATTTCAGGCCAGAGTGGGCTGGAAGGTTCTCTCTGGGTCTGCTCAGATTCTGTCCCCTCAGGGTGAGTGTGGGGGGCACATGGTGTAGATCCCCCAAACTTCCCATGTTATAGGAAACACAGTCAGTATTTCTTTTCCAGATGGTCATTTGTATGCTATTTGATCTATTGCTTGGGCATATAATTTTATTTTCAAAATTCAGGTCATTTTTCTTTTTCTCTGCTCTTCTACCATGAGTCATTATGGTTTCTCCTCAGATCCCAGCCCCTTTTCCCTAGATCTCCTCTAGCCTCTGCTTAGCCAGAATAGGGGGGGGAAAGAAAGAAAGAAAGAAAGAAAGAAAGAAAGAAAGAAAGAAAGAAAGTTCCTCAAAAAAAGAGAAAAGCAAGTGGCATAGTCAGAGTAGGGGTTCTGGGAGTGTAGTGGGGGGCCGTCTTTCCTAGGCTACGGAATGATAGCAATTTGGGACAGATGCTTTTAAGATGATTATAGGAGGAACTTTTTACAAATTCAGTGTGTGGAGTCTAAATGCCTCTCCAGCTCAAATCTGTTTAGCATCTCATTGCAGGAGGTGGGCAGAATATTTGAACAATTCAGGGAAAGTGGCTGCCTGGGAATTTCCGTGCTGTCAGAGAGAGATGGGCATCTTCTCCCAGTGGGTGAGCTTTCTCTGGGCACACCAGGCTGGCAGCCTTGCAAGCGGCAGCAGCTGCATCAGATCCGAAGAGATCAACACCAATTCAGCAAAGACACGAGGAGTACCAGATGTGGGCTGGACATGCCCCCATGTCCAGCTCCAGAATACCTGGGTAGATTTTGCTGGGACTGACTCCCTTGGAGAGCTTGACCCTTTTAGTCAATGAAAAAGAAGTTTCGCTGTTTCTGTTTCCCTGCCCCAGGACTGCCAAGATGAGAAATTGGACTGGGAAGAGGGCAGAGGGTGCCTGTGTAACACTGAGCTGTCAGGGGGCCATTCTGTGTAGCGAGCCCAGACCTCCAGGCTCTGGAGAAAGCCCTCCCTGAGATTTAGGATGAGCTTCTGCATGAATGTCTACAGCCACAGTGCCCTGGGGTGGGGGAGTGGGGGCTGTCTAACCAACTGTGAACTGTGTCCAGGTGGCTGGAAAAGAAATCACTGAGATAATTGAGAGCACTGTGTGGATGCATATCCAGAGTCTGGGATTCAGCTGTGCTGGGGTGAGGGGTGGGAAAAAGAAGAGGTGTCGTTCTGTGCATGCTGCCTTCTCTGTGTTCTGAAGCTGGGGTGCAAAGGGAAAAGGAGAGAAAAGAGAGAGCAGAACTCATGGGGTGAGAGGCAGGGGGCACAGGAAGAGACGCTTTCATTGACAGGGCATTAAGGGTCATCTTCAGGGGCAGGAGTCAGCGGCCTTAGTCCACCCTCCACAGTGGGTCCACCTCCCAGAGCACAGGCCATGGGACATTTGTTTTGTCTGATGGGCTTTTCTTGGGAGAAGACATCACGCTCACTCAGCATAGGGTTGCCCCACCCTTGCACAGAGGCTCCTCATGAACCAGTGAGAGAAGAAACAACAGCCTTTCCCCCAGAGAGGTGGCCACACTGGGACAGGCCCCAAGGACAACCCTTTGAGTCTAAAAGGAAGGAGCATGATCAATAGTCCCAGTTTTCTAGGGACCATGCCAGCTTGAATATTGAAGTTCCTCTTCTCAAAAGAACTCTTGGCCCTGGGCAAACTGGGACCATTTGTTGGCCTACAGGGGTGCCCACAACATTCCTCTACCAGTTCTTCTCAAACATTGCTATGGATGCAATTGTCTGAAGTTCTGAGTAAATGCAGATTCTGTTTCAGTAGGTCTGGGGTAGGAGGAGAATTTCTTTGTGGGGCACAACCAGCAATGCTCAGGTGGACCATGAGGTTCTGGGAATCTAACCTGGAGTTCCTGCATGCAAAGTATACATTTCAGTCCTTTGAGCCACTTCCCAGCCCAGATTCGTTTCTACAGTGCTTGGTGGTGGTGGTGGTGGTGGTGGTGGTATGTGTGTGTGTTGTGAGGTGAGGGGGTAGGGTGGGGGGGTGGAGGAGAGTTGGGCTACACCTGGATGAACACAGGCCTAACTTCTGGGATCAGGGATCATTCTTGGCTATACCTGGTGGACCTTATGTGGTATCAGGATTCGAACCTGAGTTGACTGTGTGCCTTATCTGCTGTGTTATCTCTCCCATTCCTCTACAATGCTATTAATGGTGATGGGGCTAGTCCAGGCACTTCGAGAGCCCACTTCTTTCCCAGTATAAACAGAAAATCCAGAAAGAAGTCAGGAGTAGTGTTAAGTTGTGACACACTCAAAAAGAGCCTGACCCCTGCCAGGAGTGATCCCTGAACACAGAGTCGGGAGTAAGCACTGAGCATCGCTGCATGTGGCCCAAAGATAAACACACACACACACACACACACACACACACACACACACACACACAAGAAAGGCTATTTCTAGTGGAAAGAGAAGCAGGTTAGTTGTGCACCTCCTGCCTCAGCTTCTTTGTTTCCTCCCTGAAGGACACGGATCCCTACCAGCTGCCCCCATCACTGCTCCGGAGACTCTACGACAGCTCCGTCCCCCTGGAAGGGTTGCTCAAAGTGTTGAGCAGGGCGAGTGTGGGTAGGTGACAGCCCCAGGAGAGGGATGTGCAGGGCAGAGATCTGAAGATGAACCGGGTTGGGAGGCTCCTCAAGGGGAGGGAGATGGGAGACCTCCATCTGCTTGAGAGTTGCATTCGGGAAACTTTCTACTCTCCACCCTTACCACACTTGTTCTTATTTTCGCAGGCCCTAAGGCATCTTCACTGACTCAGAAACGTGAGTACCTTCCTCTGCCTCAGTCTCTGATGACCACTTGCCCAGTGTTCTTTGGGCACCCCCTCCTACTCACCCCAAGTCCTTTGGATGGTTGGGTTGCATCGCAGCTAGTGCAAAAAAGTGACACTTGCCATTGCTCACCAACTTTTCCTGAAAGTGAGAGCAGTGAGTACCAGGAGGAAGTTGGTGGCGATGAGAGTGCCACTGGCCACTCAGGGGGAACCAACAGAATCTCTTGGTGGAAGAGTCTAAGCCAGACACCTGCTCAGGCAAAGAACTCCAGAAATGTGGAGGAGAGAGACATGGGAAGAGAGAGTGAGTTAGGGACTAGCCTACTAGCTGAAGGGAGTCAAGCTATGGTGATTTAAACAGAGCAGGGGCCCGGAGCGATAGTTCAGAGGGAAGGGCGTTTGCCTTGCTGTGGCCAACACAGGTTTGATCCCCAGCATCCCATATGATCTCCTGAAAGAGCCAGCAGTAACCCCTAAGGTAACTCCTGAGCATTGTCAGATATGACCCAAAAAATAAAAAATTAATAATAATAAGAAAGAAAGAAAGAAAGAAAAGAAACCGACTAGAAACCCAGGCTCCAGCATTGCATGCATCTGGCGAAACGCATCAAGTCCTCATCATGACTGGCAACAGTGTGGGTCCTTTCTCTGCAGGTGACATGCATGATTTCTTTGTGGGACTCATGGGCAAGAGGAACACCCAAGTAGGTAAGCCTGGGTGGGGGCTGCACTGGGGAGGTTTAGACACGGCAAAGAGGGTGGACGCCAGGGCACGCCTCTTGGTCTTCAGAGGGAAAAAATGGAATTGAAGTGCAGTGGATGGCTTCGTTAGCCCTTAACACCCAAGCAGCTTGGTGCTCTGGCTCACTCTGCCTGAGAGCAGAGAAGATGGCCCGTATGATGGTCCTGCTGCTTTGAGAGGTGTCAGCAGGCCCAATCCCTGTCCTTCACCTCCTAAATGTAGCAGCTTGTCTTACTGAGCTGCCCTATGTAGTTGCCCTTCATGGGTAGGGTGAGGGTGACCCTGAAGCTGCTCTCTGCTTTATCCCAGACACCCCTGTGGATGTGAACCAAGAGGAAGCCCCCAATTTTGGTACCATCAAGTATCTCCCCAATGTGGAATAAGGTAAGGATTGTTAGTTCCAGGAAGGAGGGAGCAGTGTGTGCTTGTGTGTGTGTGTGTGTGTGTGTGTGTATGTGTGTATGCGTGCGCTTGTGAAAGAAAATTTCTCATGCTCCCCAGTTTGTCCTCAAAATACACTGCCAGCATCCAGCACTGAAAGGAACATACAGGCTTGTGTGTATACACTTGTGGGTGTGGGTTTGTGTGTATGCATGTGTGCACATGGGCGCGCGCACACACACACACACACACACACACACACACACACACACCCCTCTTCTTCATCATATTCCCTTCTACCAGGGGTTTTCTATGAAGATGCTCAACTTTATCCTCATACCTGCACAAACAATTCACCCCCAGGACAGGCTGACCTATTCAAATTATTTGGAATCTTCTGTTATTGGGTCCAATGTTTAGTTCTATGAAAGGGTGATTTAGGAAGAAAGGTAAGGAGTTCACATCTAAAGAGGGAACAGGGGCTGGAATGATAGCACAGAGGGTAGGGTGTTTGCCTTGCACGCGGCCGGCCCAGATTCAATTCCCAGCATCCCATATGGTCCCCAGAGCACCGCCAGTAGTAATTCCTGAGTGAAGAGCCAGGAGTAACCCCTGTGCATCGCCAGGTGTGACCCCAAAAGCAAAATAAATAAATAAATAAATAAATAAATGAGAAACAGCTGTGGAATGGTACCAAAAGTCTTTCTTGCCCCTAACTACTGGAATGGATAAATACCTGGCTTGAATTTGAATCCTGGATCTGCCACTGACTAAGTGAGTCCCTATGGCCAAATTCCATAAATTTTCTGTGTCTTAGTTTCCTTGCCAGAAGAGTGGGGTTGATAATATTATGTCCCGGGGCCATGGTGTTGAGGATTTAGTAGAGACAAAGTATTCGGAACAGTACCCAGAACACAGCATTATGATTATTGCAGTCTGGAAGGTTTGGGGAATGTTCTAGTGCATCCTCTGGTGAGCTTTGGTCTGCCGGCCTTGTGCTGTCTGGAGATCTTGTGAGCATAAATGTCCCCCTGGAAGTGTTTGGTCAAAACACAGAAACTTCCTTCTTAACATATTTTCCCACGCAGCAATAGCAGCTCACTGATGGCTTTCCTTGCAGTGTCTTCCAAAGGAAGCCGGTGGGGGCAGGCAAGGACGGCGGGGGAAGACTCAGTTATCTCAGAGACTCCTGCCCTTCCTCTTGAGTCCCTGTCACCTACTTTGTGAGCTCAGTGGAGACGACAGTGGGACAGACATGGACTCTTGACAAAGCGGCCTGTGCCTGACTCCCCAGGCCCAGAGATGAGGCCTGGTGCCCCACTCTGTATTGGGTGAGAGGGCACAAAGAGCTGTAATAACCGTAACTCGCTGATTACATGGTACTTACCGTATCATTTTGCTCTCATTAGATGGTTATTTCAGTCCTGCCGACCGCCAGATAATTATACGGGCAGCTATATCTGGATGACATACTCTCCCCCAGCGTTATGCGTTAGCCATAAAGATAATTGCAGTGCAATTTTGCCATAGTATTTTATACAAATGGCAGAAACAAGTGCATTGTGGAAATCTACTTTTAATGTTTGCTGGCGAATCCAGGCTCTTTCAGAGGGATCAGGCTCGTAATTACAGCCTCAAAATCCCAACACTGATGGAGCATTCTCAATCTGTTAGGAGCCAAGAAGGATAGGACAGAAAAGCCCCGGGGGTGGTATTTAGGGGTGATTAGGTGAGATGGAACCCCACGGATGTTGTGCCATCTTATTTCATTCATGTGTAACTGGGCCAGTCCTGCTCTGGGGAGCTTGGGAGGCTGTGGGAGTGCCTGGGCATAGGGATGGGGCTGCATGTGTGCTGGCTTATGGGCATGTCTGGGTAATACAAAGATGGTCACTGAACTTTTCTGCTGGGCTCTACACACCATGCATGGGAGTTTATAGGGGGCATGAACAACACGCTCATGCGCAGGGAGGTGCACCTTCTGCTAGGAGAGGGCTGGGTGTGGGAAAGTGGGCTGGGGAGAGGGCTCACGGCATCGAGTGCAGGCTTTGGTGGCCTGGGTTTGATTCCTCGCACTGAATGGTTCCCCAATCGTGGCCAGGAGCGACCCCGGGGCACTGAGCTGGGAGTAATTCCTGAGCATACTCCCAAGCCAACCAGCAAAAAGCCAGGGTGTTGGGAAGATCAGGACACAGTCTTTTGTTCTCTCTCCTCTCTTTGGAATGCCCCCTGCATCCCCAGTGGGTGGTCAGGGGTGTTTTACAGAGATGTGATTTCATCATTTTGCTCCTCAGCATCCCACTCTGGATCTCCTGGGCTGCCTCCTGAAGATCCCTGCTGCTCTCTTTCAGCCCCCAACTGCATGGACCCCTCTTTCCCTTTCTTTCCGCCCTCCTTGTAACACTGTGTGCTTTGATTCCTTCCTCGGCCTCTACCCCACTTTGATGTAGACACTGAATAGTGAGCATTCCACTTTCGGGTGGCCAAAGATTCTCATGGAGTTTCTGTCATATTCTATATGAAAAACCGAGGTCTCTCTTCAGTCAACAATAAAGAATTTCCATATATGACCCAAAGAAGTGAATTTTCTTTTTTAGCACTGGATTTTTTCCCTTGACAACTATATACATACATACATAAATACATACATGAAAACATACATATGATATATACACAGCATGTCAATGGACATATCTTTGTGTACAAAATGATTTTCCTAATAATAGTGCTTCTTTAACTTAGTATCAAGGTGCTTTTTAAAATTAGTATTAGGAAATTAGTAAACAAGGTGCTTCTTTAAATTAGTATCAGGAAACTTTTTTTTAGTGATTAAGAAAAGTAAATGAAATGGCAGAGAGAGCTCAATGGACTGGGTGCATACTTTACAAGAGGGAAGACTGGGGTTTGATCCCCAGCACTCATAATCCCTTAAGCAAAATTTCCCAAGAATCGAGCCAGGGGTAGCCCTTGAGTACCACTGGGTATGGGTTAAAAAAAAAAAAAGAAAAGAAAAGAATTCAAGAAATGACTTCTAGTACTTAGAGACTTTCACAGACTAACTCTAAATAAAGGAAATTGTGCTCTGAATGGCTTCTAGGGTGGACCCAGGAAGCGAGAGACCTGACTTTAACTTGACTTAGGGCAGGGAAGTGGGGATCAAGGTTCTGCAAAAAAATCCCAGCCCAGATGAGCATCCATTTATAGTACAGCACCCTTTCATGTGCCCAAATGTCAAGCATCAGACCTATGATAGGTCCCGATGACCTATGTCTGAGCACACAGTCTGACAAGTCTATATACGTCTACTGTCTGTAGATGGTACTTGATTCTATTAGATGTGGGTGTAGACAGTCTAACTTCCTGCGGACACTGAGAAAGGAGTGGATATTGTTAGTGTTAACCTCTGTCTTGGGGCTGGAGCGATGGTACAGCGGGTAGGGCATTTGCCTTGCACGTGGTCGACCTGGGTTTGATTCCCAGCATCCTATATGGTCCTCCAACCACTGCCAGGAGTGATTCCTGAGTGCAGAGCCAGGAGTAACCCTTGAGCATCGCCGGATGTGATCCAAAAAGAAAAAAACAACAACTCTATCTTAGTTAATATAAAAGAAAATCATTTATTTCAGATGCTTCTGTAATGCAATCCTTCCCAATCCCTGGTAGAAGTGCCTATTATAAAGAAGGCACTTACAGGAGGTGCGTCTTTTAATCAGACTTGTCAGCTCACCCGACTCACTGATACCAAGGTGGGACTGAACTTGGTGGAACAGAGGGGAAATTCCAGGCTTCCTTTCTGAACCTGGGCCTTCGTCATGTTCTTGAACTTCCTTGTTAGAGGACTCCCAAGGAGGGTAAGGCTGGGTCACTGACCTGCAGGTCACTTTCTTCAGTTTCTTCAGCCAGTGAAAGCTCTCTTCCCAGGACCTGACCTCTGAGATCTTTGGACCCAGAGCTGTGCAGTGGGGAAGTGGGGTGGGGTGGGGGGGGGGAGCTGGTCCCTGTGTCCCTGGTATCAGGTTTATTGCTAAAGCACAAGATAGCCCTTCAACACAGATCACAAGTCTTTCTGTAGTGAGTCAGCTCTTTGGATTTCAGGGTTTCAAAAGGAGGTAACTTTTGTTTGTATATTGTTGTCCTTGGGCCACATCTAGCAGTGCTCACTGGTTACTCCTCGCTCTGTGTTGCACAGGTCACTCCTGGTGGTGCTCTGGGGACGATGTAGTGCCGGGGAGTAAGCCTGAGTCTCCCACATGGAAAGCATATGCTCCCCAACCTTAAAATTGAGGTGATTTTTGTAGAATGTGGGGAATTTATGAAATCTTCAAGGGCTGGCTCTACTCAAACTTGGAAGGACCTGTGTCGAGAGCAGAGCATAAATGCGGAAAGGATGCTCTCTGGTGGGGCTACCAAAAATTGCAGTGCAGGGATTTCAGGAACAATGAAGGCGTTTTAAGTCAGATTCTGCTTTTCTGATCTGCAGAATATGTGAAGGTACATTGGTCAAGGCCTCAGGATGCCTGGTCCACAAGACCTAGACAGAATTGATGGCTCTTTCTTCTCTATCTTGTTTGAAGTGTGTTGACTTTTTTCAAAAGACCAATGTCAATGTAAATTTAGCATAACTTTCATCTATACTCTTAGATGTTGTTAGCAAATGAAGTACACTGGGACTGGGGTGTAACCTTCCAAAGACTAAATCAATTATTAAAAAATTGAACGGGGCCAGAATCTCCTGCCCTGCACCAGGCTGTCTTCACTGGGTGCCCCCTTGGAGGGTGGTGGGTTGAGTCTCCCTCCCCGTTCCAAGCAGAACCCCGGCAGCTGAAAATCTCCAGAACCCAGCTGCAGCCATACTCAAGATCACTCTCCACATGCTCGGATGAGCCTCATGCATGAAGGAACTGGCAGAGGAACCCAGGTATGCCATACCCGGGGGGGGGGGGTGGGGGGGTGGGGGGGGTGAGATCTCCAAGCCTGCTCAGATAGGGACTGGGCCTCCTCC